ACTGATCCTAGCTAACAGGTCATCAAACTGGGACCTGGTACTGATCCTAGCTGATCATCTCCTCCTCTTAATACTGCTATTTTTTCTCTTTTCTCCTACCCATTTTTCTCCTCTTTACCCTTCTCTGTCTCCTCTCCTCCGACTCCTCCTCTCCTCTGACTCCTCCTCTCCTCTGACTCCTCCAACGCCTCCTCTCCTCCTCTCCTCTGTCTCCTCCTCTCCTCTGACTCCTTCTCTCCTCTGTCTCCTCCGACTCCTCCTCTCCTCCGACTCTTCCTCTCCTCTGTCTCCTCCTCTCTTCTGACTCCTCTGTTTCCTCTGACTCCTCCTCTCTTCTGACTCCTCTGTCTCCTCTGACTCCTCCTCTCCTCTCCTCTGACTCCTCCTCTCTTCTGACTCCTCTGTCTCCTCTGACTCCTCCTCTCCTCTCCTCTGACTCCTCCTCTCCTCTCCTCTGTCTCCTCCGACTCCTCCTCTCCTCCGACTCCTCCTCTCCTCTGACTCCTCCAACGCCTCCTCTCCTCCTCTCCTCTGTCTCCTCTGACTCCTCCTCTCCTCTGACTCCTTCTCTCCTCTGTCTCCTCCGACTCCTCCTCTCCTCCGACTCTTCCTCTCCTCTGTCTCCTCCTCTCTTCTGTCTCCTCTGACTCCTCTGTCTCCTCTGACTCCTCCTCTCCTCTCCTCTGACTCCTCCTCTCCTCTCCTCTGTCTCCTCCGACTCCTCCTCTCCTACGACTCCTCCTCTCCTCTGACTCCTCCTCTCCTCTCCTTTGACTCCTCCGGCTCCTCCTCTCCTCTGTCTCCTCTCCTCTGAGTCCTCCTCTCTTCTCCTCTGACTCCTCCTCTCCTTTGTCTCCTCCTCTCCTCTGTCTTCTCCCCTCCTCTGTCTCCTCTGACTCCTCCTCTCCTCTCCTCTGACTCCTCCTCTCCTCTGACTCCTCCTCTCCTCTGACTCCTCCGACCTCTCCTCTCCTCTGACTCCTCCGGCTCCTCCTCTCCTCCGACTCATCCTCTCCTCCGGCTCCCCCTCTCCTCTGTCTCCTCTCCTCTGAGTCCTCCTCTCTTCTCCTCTGACACCTCCTCTCCTCTGACTCCTCCTCTTCTTTGTCTCCTCCTCTCCTCTGACTCCTCCTCTCCTCTGTCTCCTCCCCTCCTCTGTCTCCTCTGACTCCTCCTCTCCTTTGTGTCATCTGACTCCTCCTCTGTCTCCTCCCCTCCTCTGACTCCTCCTCTCCTCTGTCGCCTCTCCTTTCCCCTTCTTTGTTCCTCCTCTTCTTACACTTTTTTTTAATTCTCAGATAAATAATATTAAGAGTAACTTCTTTTTTTTCATGAGCTGAATGGTGAAAGTTACCCTGAAGTGTCCTGTTTTATTCTGTAGGTGGCGTTGTACCACTCCTTCCCGACGCGCCTCCTCTCTCGTGCATGGGGGCGTCTGAACGGGGTGGAGCTCCCCACCTGGCTGAGAAAACCTGTGTACTCGCTCTACATCTGGACGTTTGGAGTCAACATGCAGGTAAACTTGGTTTTTCTGTTAAATTCTTAAGTGGGAGGAGCCTAAAGTCAGGGAAACACTTCCTGTTAGTTGACACAGACCCACTTCAAGCAGCCGTCCCACAGAACACCTGGTTTCATGTTTTTATTCTGCTCTTTGTGTCGACCAATAGGAAGCAGCCGTGGAGGATTTACGTCACTACAGGAACCTCGGAGAATTCTTCAGACGACGTCTCAAACCTGCAGTCAGACCAGTCTGCGCCTCCTCCTGTCTGGTAAAGCTCCTCCTCATCTCTATTTCTCCCCTCCCTCCTCCTTCCTTCTCTCCTCCTCCTCCTCTTTCCCCCTCTCTCCCCTCCATCTCCTTCTCTTCCTCCTCTTCCTTCTCTTCTCCTCTCCTCTTTCCTTCCCTCATCCTCTCTCCTTCTGTCCTCTCCTCTTCTCCTCTTCTCCTCGACTCTCTCCCCACCTCCTCCACTCTAAATAAGTTGATAAATCTAAATGATGATAAAAATATGGACTCCTGGATCTCCCCTCAGATCTCTCCAGCTGACGGGAGGATCCTTCACTTCGGCCGTGTGAAGAACTCTGAGGTGGAGCAGGTGAAGGGGGTCACCTACAGTCTGGAGAGCTTCCTGGGTCCACAAAAGAGGCAGAGCAATGGTGAGACCACGCCCCCTACACCAATGTGATACCAATAATTCACTAATTATTTAATTATTAGTAACAAAAAATCTGACATGAGACACAAGACCTACTGAAAAGACCCACTTTACACACACACCTAGACACACACACACCTGAAAACACAACTTTACACAAACACCTGAAGACACACCTGGACACACACACCTGGAGACATAAATTTACACACAAACCTGAAGACACAACTTTACACAAACACCTGAAGACACACACACCTGGACACACACACCTGAAGAGACAACTTGACACACACCTGTACACACAGACCTGGAGATACACACCTCGAGACATAACTTTACACACACACCTGAAGACACACCTTTACACACACACCCGAAGACACAAACACACCTGGAGACATAACTTTACATAAACACCTGAAGACACAACTTTACACACACACTTGGACACATACACAACTTTACACAAACACCTGAAGACAAAACTTTACACACACACCTGAAGACACAACTTTACACACACACACCTGGAGACACATACCTGGAGACATAACTTTACACAAACACCTGAAGACACAACTTTACACACACACCTGAAGACACACCTTTACACACACACCCGAAGACACAAACACACCTGGAGACATAACTTTACATAAACACCTGAAGACACAGCTTTACACACACACACCTGGAGACACATACCTGGAGACATAACTTTACATAAACACCTGAAGACACAGCTTTACACACACACACCTGGAGACACATACCTGGAGACATAACTTTACACAAACACCTGAAGACACAACTTTACACACACACACACCTGGAGACACAACTTTATACACACACGTGGAGACACAACTTTACACACACACCTGAAGACACAATTTTACACACACGCACCTGGACACACACACCTGAAGACACAACTTTACACACACACACCTGGAGACTTGACTTGACACAAACACTGACTTGTTGGCATGACTTGTTGATATGACTTGTGATTTGTTGATGTGACTTGTTGTGACTTGTCCTTGTGTCTTGTTGGTTTGACTTGTTGTGACTCATTGATATGACTTGTGACTTGTCGGTGTGACTTGGCGGTGTGACTTGAGACTTGTGACTTGTCAGTGTGACTTGAGACTTGTGACTTGTTGGTTTGACTTGTTGTGACTTGTCGGTGTGACATGTTGTGACTTCTGACTTGTCGGTGTGACTTGTTTAGTAAGACTTTGGACCTGTTGGTTGAGACTGGAGGTCGTCCTGGGTCCAACACTTCTCTGATCGAGTCTCTTTCTTTAGACTCGTCGTCGTCCTTCAGGGACCTTCTCCTGTCGAGTCCTGATAACGACCTGTTCCACGTGGTGGTCTACCTGGCTCCGGGAGACTATCACTGTTTTCACTCGCCCACAGACTGGAGGGTGGAGCTTCGTCGTCATTTCCCAGGTGAGGGCGTCTCCCTGTGTTTACCTGATTGCCTCCTGCTCTCGAGCTGCTCCTTAGCTCTCTCTCTCTCTCTCTCTGCTTGTCAGGCTCGTTAATGTCAGTGAACCCGGGCGTGGCTCGTTTGGTCAAAGAGCTTTTCTGCCTCAACGAGCGAGTGGCGTTAACTGGCCAATGGCAGCACGGCTTCTTCTCTCTAACAGCTGTGGGGGCAACAAACGTCGGCTCCATCAGGGTTTACTTCGACCAGGTGAGCTCAGGGGAAGCAGGGGTTTGTGTGCAGCTCCGTCCCTTTTTAATTATTTTAGAAAGATTTCACTCAGTTTATCAGAAAGTTTTATTTCAACATGGAGTCAGAGTGTTAAGTTTACTTTTTAACCTAGTTTTAAAGTTTGACGTTTTTAGGTGATTTTCAAACTTTTCTTGTGTTTCCTCCTCAGGAACTTCACACAAACGCTCCGCGATACAGTAAAGGATCTTATCATGACCGCAGCTATGTTGCCCTTGGAGAGCAGGAGTTGAAGGCAGGAGAGAAAGGGGGCGTGGACTCAGTTGAAGGAGGAGGTGTGGCCTTACAGAAGGGGGCAGTGTTGGGCGAGTTTAACCTCGGCTCCACCATTGTTCTGCTGTTCGAAGCGCCAAAAGACTTCAGCTTCAGCCTACAGCCTGGACAGCGAATCAGAGTGGGTGAGGGGCTCGGCAGCCTCTGATTGGCCAAGTTGCAGACTCAGGGGGAGGTGCCTGGAAATGGGAAGATGTTGAAGACTTTGAAAAGACATGTTTTAAGAGTTAAATGCATTGTGGGTATTTTTCTCTTCAACAAATAAGCAGCAGAGGCCACATTTTTTTATGACAAGGACTCAAACTCCCAGGATGCCTTGTTCTTCATGACAGGAAAATGCCAAACCTCTCTCTCTTTTTCTATTCTGTCTATTTGTCGGTCAGCATAACCTAGTAACATAACCTCCAAACTCTCCAAACAAAAGAAAACAGGAACAAATTCATCACACACTTTGATTTTAATTGGAAATATTAAACTTCAGATTCATTTTTACAAATCCTTCATTAAAAGCTCATCCGTCCACTTTGAAGGTTCCAAGCTTTATTGTTCACACGTTTTCCAAACATTTGTTCTGTTTCTACTCTGAACACATCACAGATATAGCATTTAGCTAGCACACACCACTGTAGCCGCTGATTGATGGAACCCAACAGGAGACCTATGATTGGTCAAAAACATGTTGATATTAATAATAGATTTTTGGTTATGGAAGTTGAACTGCAAAGAGCTCTTTTGTAAAATATGTAACTATAAATAAATATTATTTCTCAGCTGCTCTGTGTATGAATATACTTGTATATACTGAATATATTAACCCTTCCCCCAAGTGTAAGTACTCATGTTAGGGCAAGTACTCATGTTAGGAAGAGTACTCATGTTAGGACAAGTACTGAGGTTAGGACAAGTACTGAGGTTAGGACAAGTACTCATGTTAGGACAAGTACTGAGGTTAGGACAAGTACTCATGTAAGGACAAGTACTGAGGTTAGGACAAGTACTCATGTAAGGACAAGTACTCATGTAGGACAAGTACTGATGTAAGGACAAGTACTCATGTAAGGACAAGTACTGAGGTTAGGACAAGTACTCATGTACCCAGTTGTAGTACTTTTACTTCTCACCTGTACAGGTATCTAATGATGCTACTGTACCTTTAGACTGAGTGTTATTACTGTTTTGATACTGTATGTAAAAGTGTTCACCCCATGGTTATCTAATAATAAAACACTTATTTATTTAACACTTAAATATTTTAGTAAATACAATATTAAACATAAAGCAACTTTATTAATTTTACTTTTTTAGAATTTGTTACTAATTATTTTATCCATGAAACTTCACATTTGCATGTTTACAATTTTTTAACTCCATCAGTCAGAAACGAACGAACACTAACAAGCACTCATTGGTCAGTATTAGCCACGCCCCCTGCAACATAACCAGCAGCAAAGCCAATAGGACGACGGCAGGCAGCAGTTGCCGTAACGATGGAACCGAGGCTCAGCCAGACCTCCGTGTGACCAGCCGTCATCTGTCACCTCCTTCCCAAGCCACAGCTTCCCGTCCCAGGCAGCATCTGCAGGCCCCTCCCCCTCCTTGTGGGTAGAGCTCCAGGAGGACAGGGAGCACGAAGAGGTCTGCTGGGCCTTCATTCCCAGGAAGGAGGCCAAGTCCAAGTCCAGACCGGCCGCTCCTCCTCGTGGCCGAGGTGTATTCTGTCGACACTGAGGACACGGGATCCACACCTGAGCAACCGGAGCAGATGCTGATTATTCTACCTGTGGGGAACTACCTGCACCCAATGCTCAGTATCAAGTTTTTAAGGTACATAGAGCAACATCTAAAGAAAATTATTTAAGAATTTTAACAAATATTTTTTTATTTGAACATTTAATGAACTGTTGTTACCTCACGTTTCTTTCTATTTAGTAGCATAGAGCAGCAACACAGAGCAGCATAGAGCAACATAGAGCAACACAGAGTAGCATAAAGCAGCACGAGCAGCTCAGAGCAACACAGAGCAGGTTATATAGCAACATAGAGCAGCATAGAGCAACATAGAGCAACACAGAGCAGCATAGAGCAACTTGGGCATCATAGAGCAACACAGAGCAGCATAGAGCAACTTGGGCATCATAGAGCAACACAGAGCAGCATAGTGCAACATAGGGCAGCATAGAGCAGCATAGAGCAACTTGGGCATCATAGAGCAACACAGAGCAGCATAGTGCAACATAGGGCAGCATAGAGCAGCATAGAGCAACATAGAGCAGCATAGTGCAGGTTATATAGCAACATAGAGCAGCATAGAGCAACACAGAGCAGCATAGAGCAACACAGAGCAGCATAAAGCAACATAGATCAGCATAGAGCAACACAGAGCAGCATATAGCGGTATAGAGCAGAATATAGTAACATAGAGCAGCATAGAGCAGCATAGGGCAACACAGCATCACAGAGTAGCATAGAGGAACATAGATTAGCATAGAGCAACATAGGGCAGCATAGAGCAACATAGAGCAGCATAGAGTAACATAGAGCCACATAGAGCAGCATAGTGCAACATAGAGCAACAAAGAGCAACATAGAGTAGCATAGAGCAACTTGGGCATCATAGAGCAACACAGAGCAGCATAGTGCAACATAGGGCAGCATAGAGCAACATAGGGCAGCATAGAGCAGCATAGAGCAACACAGCAGCATAGTGCAACATAGAGCAGAATAGAGCAACATAGGGCAGCATAGAGCAACATAGAGCAACTTAGAGCAACTTGGGCATCATAGAGCAACATAGAGCAGCATAGAGCAGCATAGAGCAACACAGAGCAGCATAGTGCAACTTAGAGCAACAAGAGCAACATAGAGCATCATAGAGCAGCATAGAGCAGCATAGAGCAGCATAGAGCAACACAGAGCAGCATAGTGCAACATAGAGCAGCATAGAGCAACATAGAGCAACTTGGGCATCATAGAGCAACATAGAGCAGCATGTGTACTTTTGCTTTTGCAGGATGTGTGTAATCGGACTGACTGATGTTGTGTGTTAGTCAGGTGAGCGTTGATGATGTCATAAGTCACCTGTTCATTAATCACCGTGTCTAGCCTCTTTAAACACGCCTGGCAGAAAGCATGGCCACAGTGTAGACGCCGTGGCAACCTGGTTGCCAGGTCGTAGCTACCGAAGCACACGATGCATACTAGGTCCTGCCTCTTTGGTGACATCACTGTCTCCATGGCAACAGTAGAGGGAGGAGACGGGAGGGGCTGACAGGTCACTTCCTGTTCTTCTTTTTTTGTTGTGTTGTTTGACATTCTGAAAGTTGTAACAGCGAGAACATGAAAATTATATTTAACTCTTCCTGTTTGTGTTGATAGAAATCCTCCAATCAAATGATTGTGTCAGCCTGCTGTCCTCTGATTGGACAGATTTTTTTAAGGGAAGCAGACACTTACCTTTAAGGTCAACTTTGTGTCACTTTATATCATCCTCTGTTCTTTTTTAAAATTATTCAGTCTTCTTCTCCGTCTCATCGTCTGTCGTCCTTTTCATTTCTTCTCCCTCTCTCTCTCTCTCTCTCTCTCCCTCTCTCCCTCTCTCTCTCCCTCCCTCTCTCTCTGTCTGTCTCTCTCTCTGTCTCTCTCCCTCTCTCTCTGTCTGTCTCTCTCTCCCTCTCTTTTTCTTTCTCCTCTTTTTAAGGTTATGTTCTCCTCTTTCCTCGTCGTCTCTCTTGTTTTTATTCCAGCTCTTCGTTCTCCTTTTTCTTCTTCTCGTCCTTTTTCTTTTTCTTTGTTTTCTTGTCTCTTCTCTTATTTCTCCTCCTCTGTTGGGTCGCTCTGGTGCTCTGAGAGCGAGAGAGGAGAGCCAGACAGAGAGAGAGAGAGAGAGAGAGAGAGAGAGAGAGAGAGAGAGGGCTTCATTAATAATTGAGCCTCGCTCGGCTGGCTGACACACGTTCTGCAGAAACAGTTTAAATGAACTTTTTACATAAAGGTCAATAAATGAATGTTTAGAATGAACAAAGATTTTATTATAAACGCTGAACAATAAAAAAAAGAATCGTTATAAAATTGACATTTGAAATATAATTATATAAAACTACCAAAATCAAACTTCATGACAACAGTTTGAATGAGACTTCAAATAAAATCTTATCAATGAAAACATTTCATAACAAGCTCTGAAGTGAAACCTGATCAGCTGATCTCAGGTCGGCCTATCAGGTTACAGCGCAGTGTGGACTGACCCTGGTCGCCTAGCAACAGAGAGAATTTATAAAATATAAATATTTATAAATACAGGTCATGTGTCTCATTATCACTTTCTTTAAAGCAACTTCAAACACAGACGAAGAAGTGAGAGAGACGTCCATAATTATACATCAAAGTCACTGCCAGGAAAGAAAGAGTGAAACCAAGACAACCACGATGACATCACGTCTCTGACATCAACGTGACGATAAAACAGACAACGAATATAGAAACTACCAAAGAGAATGACTTCCAGCGGTGATGCCATGACGGCTGTGTAGGCGAAGAGGGCTGAGATGGCGTTTTCTATTTTATATAAATGAAGATTTCAGAACAGAAGAACTGACAGAATAACTTCAGAGTAACATGTCGGGAAACACTCACCGTTTTATTCACCCGCCTCAAAATCAATGAGGAACAAACCCGCAGGAGAACATGGAGCCGACCAAGATGGTGGATTGACCTCCGCAAAGATAACAATGAAGACGGCGGCCCTCAGAGTTATCTGGCGTGAAAAAAAGGAGTGAAGACACTGAAGGAAACGGTCACCGAGGCGAAACGTGTTCCGAGAGCTCTATATATATCAACTGTTAATAACCGATATATATATGAACTGATAACAGACAAGTTAAAGGGGAAAAATTTATTCATTTATGTACAGCAGAACATAAAGAGGAACTAAATCCATGTCTTCAACAATAAGGTCACTTCAAATTCTTACAAATATATACATCAGAGGCAGAAACAGTAAAACACAACAGACTAATAGGCAGGATAAAATACACCTTAACTAAGAATTATACCACAAAAGGTCATTAGCAAGTCAACTGCGCCCTCTGCTGGCTGAATACACTGTATTAAATCATTAATAAAGTAGAGCAGCAAGATAATCCAACTACATCCAACAAATACCTCAGCATTTCACATTTCTACTATGAATTACATAAATTACAGTACCATAACAATAGATATAAGTGGCTATTTCCAATCTGCATATCAAATACTATGAGCAGGATAAACTTAAAACTCAAACTATCAAAATATTACAGAAATGTAATTTCACACAAATAGATAAAACTTACTTTCTTGTCAGGGAAACGCACACAAAGGAAACACAAGGATGCAAACAATACCACTCTGGAAACTTCTAACCAGTCTATACATCTAACCAGGAGAGAGGCCAGAATGACTGATTTAACTGAGAAGCAATTATAAAAGAGGGAGGATCTAATGCTAAACACAATGTAATTGGAGACTGCTATGATGGATTGCTCCTGAACAATGAACACTAAGCACTAATAAAACACATAATTAAAGGGAAAGCAACACAAAATGTGATACCCAAAGACGGTTTTCTACACTAAATATAAATACTTAATGAAAGCCCGACCAACACCTCTATTCTTAAAAGAAGACATATTATCCCCCCTTCCCCACCTTTTCAAACAGTCCCCTGTGGTCTAAATCAGGGGTTCTCAAACTTTTTGGGCTTGTGTACCCCCTTTCAGAATTTTTTCAGCCAAGTACCCCCTTATCCCGTCAAAGACATTTTTCAGGAAATAATTTGGGAAAAAAACATTACTAAACAAATGTATGTGGTCTTCATAAAACTGTTGGCTTATGTCACCCTGCAAAAGACAAACAGTGCTTCAGGAGGAACAGAATATGTGGAGGTAAATCCCATAACAATTTATTAGTGGTGGGCAATGTGGAAAATAATATCATATCATGATCACAATTTTATCAAGATTTTTTTCAAAACTGATCTTAAAGAAAGATTTTACAAGTTACCAATCAGTTTAACCAAACTTATTTCCCTGTAAAATGTTTTTAATTGCACAAATACTTTGCTCATAAGTTTAGTCTATTTAAAATTGTCTTTGTTATTTTTAACACCAAAAATGTCTTTCCCTGCATTCTGACAAATTTGTATGTACAATTGTAGGCTTTTATGCACTTTAAATGAATGATTTAGTATTGTGTGCTCTTTTGTGTCTTTAAATCTATGTTAGGGTTCATTAGGTACCTTTTTATACAGTGATGCAGTCATTTAAAAACACTTCAAACATAATCCAAAATGTGATTATTCTGTGACACATGGTCAAAGTAAGTTTTACTAAATTAAGAGTTTTATTCACGGAGGGGGCGGGATAACGTTGATTGACGGACAGACAGTCACCATGGTTACTGACTCTCACCTGCCTGCTGCACACTGAACGAGAGGAGAAAGAGCTGCTGACTGACATCACTTCAAGCAGCATGCAGAGATACTAATTCATGGAAATAAATGATTGTAGGTGACTGTTCAAAAACGTTTTTTTAACAACCGAGGTCCAGACCTCGCTGATATTATCGCCTCCCTCCGATTCATTCTGGTTTCCGTTATCACAACAGGTGAGCTTCGAGTAGAGAGGCTTGTTAATAACTTTAAAAACTGAGAGAGAGCAGAAAACACCGACAGCATCAGTTTAAATAAAAGACAAATTCCTATCAACTGTTGTTGAAATGGCTTTAATAAACTTGAACTACATCTCCCATCACAGACTGTTCACATCTCTCCGGCTCGTTAAGGGTTCGTTTTGTCGCTGCCCGAAGGACAAACCTTAACTTTGCAAACTCTTCAGATAAATGTTTATTGTATTGTGTCGGTTTGGAAATATCTCAAACAGTTGCATATAACCGGGGTGGAGTTCTTTTTACGGTCTAACTCTTAAGTTTTGTTTTTGGGCGATGCATCCCGCTCTGCTGCCGAGCAGAAGGAGAGGGGGAGACGCGTCTGTGTAGGAGCACAAACTGCAGCATGATAAAATGAACACATTAGCTCCGTTCTACGATCTCCCGGAGTTGGCAGATTTTTAACACGTTTAAATCATTCACGATCTAAGATCGTTATTTCGCACACCACTAGTTTGCTGTGATGCAACTTTTTTTTATTACATTTGTCACGTACCCCCTGCAGTAATCCCACGTACCCCTAGGGGTACTTGTGTACCCCCATTTGAGAAACACTGGTCTAAATGAAACATCTGTGCTGTGCTTTGGTCAAAATATGACATGAATCAAGCACCAGAGGAGGTTTGAGACTCTGTATAAACCAGCTCTCTCAGAACGCTCCGTTTTGGTGTGTGTGTCTCTTTAAATGCAATGAGCTCCCCTGAGTTTTCCAGGTAGACATCACTCCTCTGTAGAGAGAATGAAAATGGCCGACCTGCTCAAAAGTTTTGTTCTAGGCTGGGGTGGAGTCCATGGGTGGAGATACCAGTGGAGGGGAGGGTATTATTTTTTACCAGAATCCCACTGTGACATCACAAGGAGAGCACATTTGAAACAGAGCATTTTTCTCTGTTGTAAGACTTATGCAGACCACAAACAAAGGACTGGATGGGTTTATTTCACATTTTGTGGGTCTGTAGACCTCAGGTTACCCAGATATATGTTCAGAAACATTATAATATGTCCCCTTTAAAGATTCAAATATAAAGAATAAAAAGGATCATCTCCACGTCGTGTTCTTTGTGTTTAAATGTTCATTTAATAATTTAAAATAAAAACAGGCAGCAGAAGGCCAACTGTTTTAATCATTGGAGGAACTTTTTACAGTTTGTAGAAACTTTATTTAAACTTTATTGTTTTACATGTTTCATTGAGCCCGTCTCCCCTGATAACAACGGTCATCATGGCAACAGCAGAAAAAAATAACAGCAGGGACTGCTTTGTGTCAAATCAGCTGTTCAAAAAATGTATTCCATTTAAAATTTGTTTAAATAGTTAAAACTTTTTTTGAGCTAAAACTTTATTTTTGTAACATGTGTAACATCATACTTCCTGTCACATGACCTCAGGAAGACCTCTGAACTCGAGAGAAATTACAGATTTTATTTTTTGACCTGATGAGACACAAAACGGCCGCTACGACTTCCTTCATTACATCTCCTTCCTTCCTTATCTCCTTCCTTCCTTCCTTTCTTTAATACATCTCCTTCCTTATCTCCTTCCTTCCTTCCTTTCTTTAATATATTTCCTTGCTTCCTTCCTTCCCTCCTTCATTCCTTCGTAACATCTCCTTCCTTCCTTCCTTCTCTCCTTCCTTCTTTCCTTCTTCCTTTCCTTCCTGGTTTCCTTCCTGGTTTCCTTCCTTGTTTCCTCAGACGTAGGAAGGAAACATGAACTTAAAAAAACAGGATATGAACAAATCCGAGCCAATCACAGTCCTCCTGTAGCTGTGTCATCACTTCCTCCTCCTGCAGCGGTAGCAGCAGGCAGGGCACCTCCCCCCCTCCTCCTCCTCCCCTGCTTCCTTCACCATATATGGTGGCGGGGCGGAGCTTGCCACGCCGTATGGGTTACTGTCGTTATTGCTCAAAGCCATCGGATTGGCTATCACTGTGGCGTCATCTGATGGGCGTAGCTTAGCCCGGGGGATGGTCACCTCTCCGTACGGGTTCTCCAGGGAGACATTGATGTTTGACATCACGACGTGTCACAGGAAGGTGGGGCTAAAGATTATCAATTAACCAACCAATCAGGCAGCTGTCCAACCAGAGGACACCAGGAAGTCAGGACGAGAGAGCTCTGTGGAGAGAGAGAGGATATTGAACTTTGATTTGAGGAACAAAAAAAGAAAGGAAACAAGGAAACAAGAAAGGAAGGAAGGAAACAAGAAAGGATGGAAAAAGGAAGGAAACAAGGAAGGAAGGAGCCATTCAGAAGAATCCTCAGTTTGGGTTTAAAAGACACAAATCAAAGACACAAAGAGTGAAAGCATCAGCGGTCATGATGTCATCAGTCATCATTAAGTGCAAAAAACATGTTTATTGTTTTACATTTTAACATGGGGCTCTATGGGGACTGACTCACTGCAGGAGACAGACTCTAGTGGACACTGGAGGAACTGCAGCTGTAAAGTTATTGTTGTAAAGCTCTCTGAGCAGGAGAAACAGCTCCTCTTTCACTGTCTCTGCTCCCATGCAGCTCTTTAGCGCCCCCTGTCAGTCAGTGTGTTAATGTAACAGGTCGTTATTGATGACATATGAATTTCCCCGAAACAAAGATTTTTCATTTTAAATCTAATTATTTTCCATTGTTCTCCTGCCTGTTTATTTTGGAGTCTGTGTGTGTGTCTGTGCGTAATGACGGAGGTAAGAGCGTGTGCGGTGCGCGCTCTGGCCAGAGCCATTACAACTTAGGTCAGAGGTAGGTTTATGGTGATTAATGCTCCGTCGATAAATTCAATAAAAAGTTGTTTTTTTTTATAGTTTACATGTAATCAAACTGTGGTGTTTGGTTTGTGATCATATTTGTTTTATTCTGTATCAAGTTTTACATATCAAGTTATTAGTTTCGTCGTAAATGTTAACGGCTAATGTACAGTGATAAGCTAGTGTCTCGCGCAGTAGGAAACCCCGTCTCTCGACTCTGACAACACACACACCGGACTGATATGTGCTTTTATCTGTTGGCTACAGGTATGGAGAGGTTTCTTTTTTGTGTCTCATTAATATATGTAAATATTAAAGCTACCAATGTGAATTTATATGCTGTACATAAATGCTAAATGTAAGGGATTTTTCTGTGAAGGTGTGTCAAAAGAGGAGGGATTTTCTGGCTCCATATTATTATTGATTTGATGTCTTATTGTGTAGTTTATTTGGGTTAGTTTTCTAAATATTTTTCTTATTTTGTATTTATTATGTATCTATTTATTTTAACTTTATTTTGGCTAATATTGTTTTTTAACAATTGTGTTTATTTTGAAGTGCTGTTAATTTTATCGCATTATTTTCAATGAATGTTTAATGTGTGAATGTAAACAAGAGCAGAGCCATTACAACTTTGGTCAGAGGGGAGATGCTCGACTCTGACAATACACACACCGGACTGATATGTGCTTTTATCTGTTGAATACAGAGAACCAGAATCCAAGAGCTGTCTCCTGATTTATTTCTGCAACTCAGAACAAAACACAGAACACATCCTTTACACACAGGTTACATTAACATGATGTTAAAAAGCAGATTTTTTTTGTGTCAGTATGACTAAACCTGGACTTTAATAATCCAAGTAAACATTTGAGTCTGACTGAAGTTAAAACACACCTGGTAACGAGGTCAGAGGTTGATTTACTCTCACGTGTTTACACTTCCATCCGACCCAAACTGGATGAGAAGCTCTGAGCATGCTCCACAGCAGGGATGTCACAATACAGAGTTTTCTTATATTGATACAATTATCATTCCAATCAAATGATATCACTACCTGTTTGATAGCACAGCAACAACAATAGACTCTTAGTCACCCAGTATTTGGGTCATTGATTGTTTTTAAATTGCAGGTAAACCCTAACCCTCCTGCACGCTGTTTGAATTACTCAAAGACGGCGGCAACAATTAGACAAGACGGTGGTGCTGAAGAGGAGACACTGTCCCTTTTAATTAAATGTAACTGAAGATCTGAAAGCTTCTCTTTAATAAGATCATTAAAATAACACCTGGTGTCACAGTTCCTGCGTCGGGCTTTGACCTAAAGTGAAACAGCACGAGGGAGCGAGTGTCTGGTTTGTACCAAAAGTAAAGAGCAGAAGAAGAAATGAGATCAGTCATCCACTGCATGTTCATGTTTTCACTGTTTGGTTTGTGACGTAACAGGTCAACAGTAACTAAAGGGGGGCATATCACCCCCTCCTGGAGAGGAGAGACACGTCTCCCTCAGAGCTTACAGTACTTGTTCTTACAGCACGAACAGAAGAACCATGAAATGATGTCAAGAGATAAACTGTAAACACTCTGAGATCTGTTCAGTCAGATTCACCTGCAGATTAAGAATAAAACAAAGAACTGTTTGACCTGACTCACCTGGTTACACTTGCGTTACACCTGCTCACTTCTTCTTCTTTTAAAACTGTTCCTCTGAAGAAAAACACACGTCTTCTTCTTCTCTTCACCACTTGTTTCTTCTTCTTCTTCTGTGTGTCGTCGTCTGTGTTTAAAGTCACAAAGTGAACAATCAAATCTCTCTCTCTCTCTTTTTCACGTGTGTGGAGCTCACTCGCCCGCCTCGCCCAAACCTGTTCTACCTGCTGACACTCCTCTCTCTCTCTCTCTCTCTCTCTTTCCCTCCTCTGTGTCTCTCTCCCTCTGCCCCCCTCCCTCACTCTCTCTCTCCCCTCTGCCCCCTCCCTCTCTCTCTCCCCCCTCCTCCTCCAGAATTTGGGGACCTCTGATCATGTTTCATGATGATTATTGGACTCGTTTATGATTCAAACATCTTGATGTCTTTTGAAGCAGCTGATTTTACAGCTGAAATAAAAACATAAACATGAAGAAACTTGAAACACTTTAAACTGAGCTCTAACGTCAGAGTGTACCTGGAGTCCACCTGAGAGTGCCAGCAACCGGTTCAACAGAAACCTGTCATTCTCCTGCTTAGAAACCCCGCCCACACTACGCTCCGATTGGCTGGTATTTACAGGTTTAAAACAGGAAATAAAAAACGTAAAACTACAAACAGGAAATAAAATAAATAAAATAAACTACAAAACATCATTTTGCACTGAGCAGGAGGCGGGATTAGCACACCTGGATTTCAGTTTTACACTCTGTTAGTCATGCAACACTGTGTGCTGAAAATATGCACACATGCACAAACAGGATCCTATGGACATGTACTGAGTGGGGGGATGTCAGAGTGGGCGCTCCTGGGCTGATGGTGGGGAGGGGGTTTGATGCCTTGCTCAAGGGCACCTCGGCGGTGCTCAGGAGGTGATCTGACACCTTAGCTTCCATATTTGGTCCTTACCGGGATTTGAGCCGGCGACCCTCCGGTTAGGGTTAGGGTCCTGCAGACTGAGACTGAGCTACTGCCCCCCCCCCCCCCCCAGGTGTGTTTATATAATAATAATAATAATCCTGTTGGAAAACAGGTAAATGCCCACAGCTTAAAATCCCTATAATACTGATTGTATTTGTTAAATGTAGATTTCAGCTCCTGATTAATGAGAAATAATGTGTGTTTGGTTTATTGGTGCATTATTTATATTTTTATAACCCCCCCCCCCCTACCCCTCCCTCGTCCTTCCCCCTTTCCGTTTCCCGCGGAAGCCCCTCCCGGTTAGCCGTTAGCTTCCTAGCTCACTACCGGACGACAGCAGGAGTATCCGGGGAAACGGAGCAGAAAACCCGGGCAGAGGACGGTATGAGCCCTGCGGAGGACAACAGAGGAGCGCGGTGACCGGACAGCGAGTCTGCCGCCAAACGAATCGTTTCACGGCGCGTTTAAAGAGCTGAAAAGAGCCGAAGAGAAGCCGAAAAACACCGAACCTCTCCCGACTCTCCCACTCCTCCTCCTCCTCCTCCTCGGGCTGCTTCTTCATCTCTGACCGGAGAACCGGACAGGAAAACTCGGACTCACTAAGGTGGTTACTGTCCGGTTACTGTCCGTATACTGCCCGGTTGTTCAAAACGTTGATGTTGATCATTTTTAAATAAAGTTTCACAGTTTTCCTTTTGATCCGCCGCCGTCAGTTTCCCGTTAGCCTGCTGCTCCGTTAGTTTAAACGGGAGAGCGGCTAGCGTTAGCATTCTGCTCCATTAGTTTAAACAGGAGAGCGGCTAGCGTTAGCTTAGTTTCTGTTTAGCTTCAGCTCTGATGGAATGTGGAAAGTTCAGAGACGTGAAAGGGTTAAAAATGTTTTTATAAAGAATAATAATTTATTGTAATAATGTTTTTTATTATAGATTAAATTACTAATATAAAACTTAAATATAATGAATTTAGAATAAAGCTGTGATATAACACAAGATTAAAAGTGTTTTTCACCTACAGGTTTTAAAGATGTCTACGTCATATCTGAGGGCCCACACCAAAGATTTTAAATCTTAAAGGATTTGTGAAATGTGAGAGGGATCATGACCGATTTAATAGTTCAGTTCTTATTGTGTGGCGAGCAATGAGACGACCAACTCAGCACGCCATACACTAACCGATTAATTCACTCTCAACACGTGTAATCTCGCGTGGTCAACTGTGACTTAAGAGTAAACAAACATGATGGTCAAGCTAAATGTGGCTAGCTGTTAGCTGGTCCATTCATCACGGTGAACATTTTGGTCCAACATGTTTCCTGTGTGTGCACGGCGGTCCTCGCTGTTCTCCCCACACCACAGGATCATAAATATTGGAGCACTCCCGTGATTCCCCGCCAGCCTCGACATCAACATTGTTATTGTTTTGATTGATATCCCCCTGGTGGCGGATTCTAATACTGTGATTTAAAGGAAAATTAAAAGGCGACCAAGTCCTTCCAGGGAGGGGGCGTGGTTAGACACAGCTCATTTACATATTTAAAGGCATAGACACAGAAACAGCCTGTTCTGAGCAGGGCTGAAATAGATGGCTTTATAGTCATGATCAAATACAGGATCAGAGTGGATTTAGAACAAGAAACTTCACAGACATGTTTTGAGGAGCTCTGAGACTTATTTACACTGAAGAGGAGGAGGATATGTGACCTTTAAAGTAAAATAAATGAATGTGTATGATATGATTCAATTAGTTATGATTAACGAGCTGTTTAATATTTACACGTCATGTCTGTCTGATCACCTCTCTCCACACAGGACCATGAAACTGTTCCTCGCTCGTCCCTGTCCTTAGAGAGAGAGAGAGAGAGTGTGTGTGTGCGTGATCCAGGATGGGGTTCGGTCGGGATCTAAGGAACTCCCATGAGGGCTTACTGAAGCTGCAGGACTGGGAGCTGAAGGTAAAACTTTTCAAAAGTGTCTGAAGAACACTTTTAATCCAAACTGTAAATGTTTCCCTCAGCTTCAATCTCTGCACTCTCAGTGAGGCTAACACAGGTGCGTGTGTGTGTGTGTGTGTGTGTGTGTGTGTGTGTGTGTGTGTGTGTGTGTGTGTGTGTGTGTGTGTGTGTGTGTGTGTGTGTGTGTGTGTGTGTGTTGACCTCTAGCTGCTGGAGACGGTGAAGCGTTTTATGACTCTGCGGGTGAAGAGTGATAAAGACTACGCCGCTCTGCTGCTCAGCATGACTCAGCAAACTGAGAAACAGGAAGCAGCTGATTACATCAGCACCGTCAGCAAGGTGAGAAACACACCTGTCCATCAGGCCCCGCCCACTGTCACAGTCTGTGTCAGTCCTGGTCTTGGAACCTGTTTACATGTTGCGTTATTGTGTGTCCTGGCTGATCAGATGAACGCAGCCCGCCGTGAACGCAGCCCGCTGTGATCCGATTGGCTCTCAGATGGAGGTGATCTGAGACACATTTGTCCTTGTTGGTTTGGTTGTGTGAACGCTCCTCCTCCTCATTAAGGGCTGCCCACTCTCTCTGTATCCATGGCAACGATCATGTGAAGTAACATGGAGTAAATGTCTCCCCTCATGAACATGTTTATTTTTAGACTTCTTATGTGGAGCCATACTTCAGAGCATGAAGACGCAGATATATAGTGACACATCATGTCTGTATATACTGGCAGAGGAGGAGCTGGGGACCGAACCCCCGACCTCCTGATTGAGAGACTGTACCAGTGAGCCACAGCCGCCTGTACGACTAGAGAAGCTTTTAGTGAACGAGGCGCCGTGTTTAACATGAAGCGAGGACGTGAGATCTGATGCCTCCATCACCCAGCAGCTGTTAACTGCCTCTCTGTCTCAGTCCTGGTCTCAGGTGATCCGTCAGACGGAGGCGTTGGGTCGAGTCATGAGGAGTCACGCTGACGATCTGAACTCCGGTCCTCTTCATCGTCTCGCCACGCTGATCCGCGACAAACAGCAGGTGAAGAAGAGCTACCAGAGTCTTCATCAGCAGCTGGAGAGCCACAACCACAAGGTGTGTGTGTGTGTGTGTGTGTGTGTGTGTGTGTGTGTGCGTGTGTGTGTGCGTGCGCGTGTGTTTTCCGTCAATAACCATACAGTTTTTACGACGTCCTGTTCCTAGGTAACCAGGAGTGATCTGGACAAACTGAAGACGACGTATCGCCAGCTGAGTCGCGATGCTAACAGCGCTAAAGAGAAATACAGAGAAGCTGTGGCAAAAGGTTTCACCTCTCTTTTTACAGGAAATATAAAATCAAAGTTTACGTTTGTTTTCACCTTAAGTTTGAACTTTTTTGAAGTCTTTGGGTCCTTGTGCCTCTCTCCAATCACAGGCCGGGAGGCAGAGCGTGCCCGGGAACGTTATGACAAAGCGACAGCGAAGCTCCACAACCTTCACAACCAGTACGTGTTAGCGGTGTGCGGCGCTCGGACGCAGCAGGACGAACACAGACGCCACGCTGCTCCAGCGCTTCTCGACGCCCTCCAGAGGATGCAGGAGGACATGACGCTCGCCCTGTGAGTCGCATGACCATCGCACGGGAACACATGCTAACTGGCTCACCAATGGTGATGACGATCGCACATGGTTCTATTCACGACCCGGTTTAGCTGGCGAGCCTCGTGTCCTGAAACGTGACCTCACATCTCCAGTCGAGTCACAGAATAGTCGTTTGACTGAGCCGACCTCAGACACACATCATGATGTGTTTAAGGACGTGACTGGAGATATAATGTAGCGTTACAGGTCTTAGACGCTCGACAGCAGAATTGATAAAACTAAAACTTTTTTTTTTTTTTTTTGGATCTTCTAAGAAGCATGTTTCAATCCCCGTCCCAACAAACTCCTCTCCTACTGACCCGTCAGTAAAATACACGTTTGATTTTTCAAAGCTTCGGTCCATTTTAAATACTGACACGCTATCTGACTTTTTTACTGACTTTGTTACTGACACGCTAAAAGTCTGTTTTAATACTTCCTATGTACTTAACAGTAAACATCTGTACTTCCTGTTTCTTTCAAAGTAAAAGTATTCTGGAGGAGTACTGTGAGATCAGCAGTCTGCTGACAGAGGAGATCGTGAAGGTTCATCAGGAGATCTCTGTAGCTGTCGAGCAGATTGACCCGCTCGCAGAGTACCAACACTTCATAGACGCCTACAGGTTCGGATGGTTTCCCCAGAAACAGTGAGTCTGTGTGTCTCACTCCTGGTCACCATGGTAACAGTATCCACCCCCGCAGGTCTCCAGAGACGCCCGAGGCGAGTGTAGAGTTTGACCCGTCTTTGCTGGAGGAGACGGACAACCTGCCGGCCAACGACATCCTCTGGAACACGCTGACCTCAGACAGCCTTCAGGCCATGTGAGCTCCAAATCTTTCCAGGACGGTTCTGGAAACTTTCTGAAGATGAAGGTTTAAAAACGTGTTGATAAGCAACAGAAAAGTATAAAACTTTTTATTCTTAGTCTGTGTTTGTTTCTCAAGGTTGTTGTCGGCGACCGAGGAGCTGACGCTGACTCAGCAGAATCTGCGGACAAAGGAGGCGCTGGCTGTTGACTTGGACACTAAAATCCAGACGAGTCAGCAGAGCCCAGAGAGAAAGAGCGAGTGAGTCTGGTGACTGAAATTAAAGCAGTAGAAGAAGAAGCTGTTCTCTCTCTCTCTGACTCGTTGTCTCTCTTCCTCAGCTGCGTCCTGCTGCTCAGTCAGAAACTCTCTCTCCTCGAGCTTCATCAAGCCGTCCAATCACTGCGTGGCTCTGAGGCTCGCCTCGCCTCCCAGAAGGCACTGCTGGATGCAAAGATGGCTGCCGCAGCCACACCGCCGCCCCCTCCCCCTCCCCCTGCGCTGCCTTATGAGGACGACGCCCGCTCTGTTAGCTCCACGGTAAAGACGCATCAAAGGCGCTTCAACATGAAAGCATTTCTTATTATTAAAATGATTAGAAAGTACTATTCTAAGTGTGTGTATGTATGTGTGTGTGTGTCTGTGTCTGTGTCTGTGTGTGTGTGTTTCCAGGATAAATCTAAAGAAGGAGTTCTCGGTTTGACACTCTGCGTCACTCTCTGGCCGGGATGATCCGCTCTCCTAAAGCCATGCTAGGCTCCTCCTCCTCTGTGAGTGTCACCTGTCTGTCTGTCTTTCTGTCTCACCGTCTCACCTGTCTGTCTCACCTGTCTGTCTCGCCTGTCTGTCTCGCCTGTCTGTCTGTCTCACCTGTCTGTCTCTCACCTGTCTGTCTGTCTGTCTCTCTCACCTGTCTGTCTGTCTGTCTCTCTCACCTGTCTGTCTGTCTGTCTCTCTCACCTGTCTGTCTGTCTGTCTCTCACTGTCTGTCTGTCTCTCTCTCTCACCTGTCTGTCTGTCTGTCTCTCTCACCTGTCTGTCTGTCTGTCTCACCTGTCTGTCTGTCTGTGTGTCTCACCTGTCTGTCTGTCTGTCTGTCTGTCTGTCTGTCTGTCTCACCTGTCTGTGTTTTGTCTCCTGCAGCAGTTCTTTGATGTGATCCCAACCTCAGAGCGCCCCCTGGCGGAGCAGGAGTGGTACCATGGAGCCATCCCCCGAACTGAAGCACAGGAGTTACTACGGCAACAGGGAGACTTCCTGGTGAGGGAGAGTCACGGCAAACCGGGCGAGTACGTCCTGTCTGTGTTCTCTGATGAGCAGAGACGCCACTTCATCATCCAGTACGCTGACGTATGTGTACACACACACACACACACACACACACACACACACACACACACACACACACACACACACACACACACACACACACACACCCATACATGGTCTCTATCTTTGTGAGGTCCCCGTCTTTTTGCTTCTTTGTGTGGGCCACCGCTTCCACTGTAGCTAGAATGGTGCAACAAGTATTTTTACCATTAGGTGGGAGTAGAGAGTGTGAAAGTCACTTGAAATTTGAGAACACTCCAACTTAAAAAAAATATTTTACTTCTATACTTGTGTGGCCCTTTGGCTGTTGCTAGGTAGATTTGACAACACACACACACACACACACACACACACACACACCTTAAATCTTTTACTGCTATAGTTGTGGGACCAGTGACTGATTTAAAGTTACATTTCAAAATACACACTGTTTGTTTTAATTGGTTCTTGAAATGTCTGTCTAAGTAGAACAGGGGTCTCTTTAAAAATATTCTACTTTTTTGTAGTATTTGAATGTGAAGTGGCCCTCCCACATTGATGAAATGTAATTGATTAAGTGCATTTTCTTAAGTACTGTACTAGAGTACAATTTTGAGGAACTTGCTCTTTTCTCAAGTATTTCAATTGTCTGCCACTTTATACGCCCACTGCACTTCATTTATTTGACAGCATTACTTATAGTTATGTTGCAGAGTAAATGCTGCATCGGAACCAAAGTATTGCACTCTATCTGTTAACATTAAAGTGAGTGATAGGATGTTTGTTTTCTTGTAGCATTTGTCTGCAACAAATGTAAGAAATATTTTACCCTTCTAAGATATAAATTATATTATTGGTCAACTTGTAGTCAGCGAACTTCAGCCTTGTATCCTCTTTTATGCAAAGATCAAGACAGCTCTCTCACGACATTACATTAATGAGAATGTAAGAGAGAAATAAAGAAATTATCAAAAAATCCCAATGACTGACTAAATAAAAAAGCAATCACTGTTATAATGGCAGAATTACTGTATTTTTAATAACTTAATACTAATACAGCAGCTTACATATCAGTTCCACAGTATTTTAATAAACCACTGACACCCTGATTTCTTTTAGAGTGGATCAAAACTGTTACAGGAAGTCCATAAAGATATATAACTGTATATATTTTAACATAGTTTTATGTGGTACTAACAATGGTAAGTTTATTACCCATATAAATGTTGGTCATCTCATCCTCTTTAATGAGAAACTAGACAGAATACCAGCACACATGCTGAATGACAGGTGCAGTTTCTCCACGTAATTTAGCAAATTTGTAGGACAAAACGTTCCAAAAACAATGTTGACTTGAATGTAGATGTATAGTAAAAATTGACAGTGTTATACTTTTCCTTAAAAGCCTGTTTCTGTCAGTACTATTTCACAGATGCACTGCACGCTGCGGACTTATCAGCTGTCAGGTCTGCTGCAGGAAAAGTGATAAAAACATACAGCCTTATACAAAATGATTCGGGGTGTAAAGGTACTCGGACCGGACCGTTTCGGTACAGGGCTTTCGGTCCGATCTGCACACGCGGAACAAAAGTGCTTTAATCTGTGCTCCCACAGCTTTTAATTACTAACTTGTAAAAAAGTTCAAACATAAACTGTGCAACCTGCAGATGATTAGTTCCTCGAGCCCTGTCGGTTTGGACAGTTGCATATAACCGAGATGGAGTTCTTTTTAAGGACTTACTCTTAAGTTTCGTTGTCATTTTCAGCGATGATCCCGCTCCAACAGCGCTGCGTCGCAAAAGGGGAGGGGGAGACGCGTCTGTGTGGGAGCACAACCTGCAGCATGATAGAATGAACACCCTCCCTCCCCATTCCCACAATAATGGACAAAGAGACGTTGACAAGACGAGAGCAGTGTGCCGTCGTTGTTCAGCAGACATCGGGTACGTCGCAGGCAACACGTCCAACTTATTAAAGCACTTGAAAAGGCACCATGCGAACGTTAACGTAGGAAAGTAGGAAAAAACAGACAGCCTTTTGCTAGTAATTCTGAACGGGCCAAAGCCATAACAAATGCTATTGAAATTCTTATATCGACAGAGGGAAATATTAATAGTTATGCGGTGAAACTATACTGTCCCAGATGTGATTAGGTTCATTATGTGCTCAAAGGGCATTCAAAAAACTGTTGGTTTAATAAACTAAAAGGTGTCAGTGTAATTAAAAAATATATATTTTTACATATAGGCCATATTAATTACTTAATTTAATTCTAAAATGCTTTATTTCATTCATGTCTTTTATTTATTGGATACTCTTGTGGTTGAAGGATGCAGAATATGTTTAATTTAAAATGTTATTAAAAAGTAACCTGAGCAGGTGTACAAGTCTGAACTGTCGATGCTGCACTTAGCCCAATGTGTAAAAGGGAAATTCTAAATGTTCCTAATAAAGAAAAAAAAGTGTTGCATCAGGTCCCTTTGCTGTGCCGAAAATGTACTGAACCGAAGCTTCAAAACTTGGAACCGTACCGAACCGAAATGTTTGTGTACCGTTACACCCCTAAAAATGATACCTCTGTAAACCAGAACAAGGAGAAATAACAAGTCTGAGTGGGCCAACAGGGAGACAGCAGACATTTTCTAAATCCCATAGAAAGCCTGAATAGGACCAACATCTGATCGGTCTGCTGCGTGCAGTGCATCTGTGAAATAGCACTAAAACAAACATGCTTATTTTGTCTTACAAATTTGCTTAATTACGTGGAGAAACTGGACCTGTCTTTGGCAATGTACTGTAGCCTTGCATGTGTGCCGATATTCTGTCTAGTTTCTCATTAAAGAGGATGAGATGACCAACATCTATGTGGGTAATAAACTTACCACACATAGGAAACAATATAATCAGAAGGACTTTGTCGCTGACGCTTACTCGCTTGTTTTTTCTGTAGAACTCCAAGGCCTTGTACTGCATTTATTTTGGGGGAGGAGTTGTGGATCCACACCTGAAACAGAAATAAGCAAATAAAACAAATGTATTTAAAAATTATGCACATCCTCCTTAAATTATGGATGGATGTTTTATTTTTCTACTTTTTATGGAGGCAGCTGTGAAGACATAGGAACATTGTGACATATCTGATTAGAACTTGCTTCAGTATTTTGGTGTTTCTGGACAACAACTAATAACTATAGACAATTTGCGTTTACCTGCGGAAAATGCGTGGGAATGCTGACCGCTGAAATGTTTTGCAAAACACTGCTGAATGAAGAAGAATCAGCAGAAACAGCTGTGGAAAAGTGGAACATTTTCCCATTCATTTGAATGGGGACAAATTTTGTGGAAAAAGTGAAATAACTTAAAAGAGCTCTCACTGCAGACCTCATGACGTTGACTGACTTGGGACTCCTGTACAGCTCCCTCTTGTTAAGACGAAGAAACCTTTTGGACAAAAAACACAGAACAACAAAATGATGTCACATCACTTCAAACCATTCAAGTGCTCTACTTGAAAATGTAACTTTGGTATAAACAGAATCAACCAACTTACTCACTTTCAAACCGTCTAAACCTAAGGTGTTGTAGCCCAGAGTTTCTGACACCCATACTCAATGCTTAAATATGCATTAAAATGCATTATATATTTTGTATCCCAGAAAACACAAAGTCTAAACAGAATAAGTTCATACCGTTGTGGTTATTTTACCAACTGCCTGAGAGATAACAAATACACCCCTATTGACCTAATTGATGTCACTAAAAGAAAATGAGACTTCTTTGTAATTCAGCTTTATCAACATAATTTGTCTAATTGTTCCTGCAAATGCTCAGCTAACAGTGTTTATCTAATTTCTCAAACGTTTATATTATATATTTATCATGTAACTTGAAAATAAGACTTAAACTGCCATATAGTAAAACTAAATTAGCTTTACACTCCACCACATGGAGAAGTTAGCTTAACAGCTACACTCAGGCTAACACCTGACGGCTAGCAAAGTTTCCAACAAAACAAATGATAAAACATAAAATATGTCTTACCTCCAGAAGTTGTAGTGTGTTTTCATGCTCTGTTTGGTTCTTAACTTGTAACTCCTCTTCATGTCTCTTCGCACACCTTGTGTGATGCTCTCTCAGCCTTTGCAGCCTCCGTGTTCGGACAAGTGATACTTCATATTGAAGGGTATTGAATGTATTAAAGGTAATATATATTTATAGCTGATTTGAGTAGAGTTTAGATGGGCTCCTGCTTGGACCCAAGGGCCACTAGAGCTTTGAATCTAAAATGAGTGGTTCCCTTTAAGCCCAATATAATGCAAATCAAATTTGGTGCCTAAAGTCCCAATAGAACTCAAATGAGAGATTTTCCCACCAAATCCAACTGATAACCTGAAACTAAAGCTGCAGGTATCTTAGCTTTCTTAACAGCGAGCGAGCTGAAATTTGGAGTCTCTAGCTGAAGCAGAACTTGAGATAATGGCCTTAAATGGTTTTTGAGAGGGGGGGCAGTCTCAGGTCAAGATTTCAACGGCCCCATGCTCGGGGCCCTTGGCACCTAGAGAGCTGAAATTTGCAGGAGGTTATCCTTGGGGGCCAATTCATGTGAGAAATTTGGTGTCCATAGCACTTTTGGTTCTCTTAGGCCTCCTGTACCAAACCCCAGAGCAGCGATGGTGTTAGCCTTGATATGTCCAAGACCCTGATTTTTCCTGAACTCAGCTAGGCCAACTTTTTCTAGACCACCTAGAGGGCTGAATTTTCTATATGTTGTAGGTGGCCCTCAGAGAGTCCCTCCTATGGTGTTTTGGGGCCCGCAGCTGGTTTCGTTTGCCCTCACGGAGGCGCTAAAGTTGAGATTTTTTACACTTTAGAGCCTCGCTGCTCAGCCAATTAAAGGCCAAATCAGGTGAAATCTTCTGGGAGATGTTAGATTTCATAGGTGAACCACATATCAAAAGTTGGGCCTGCCAGCTCCTTTTGTTTTCTATCTTCTTTTACGGAGGAGCTGTTGACTCAGTTCCACATGTTGAAAACGTGTCTTTTTGGCTGCTGTTCGGGACTCAAACCATTTTGAACTCTGCATTTGAAATTGGTGATTACTAATATAGTCAACAGAATGCATATCCAATTTGGTTACAGAATTTAAATGGGAGCCAATAAGAGATTTTCCTGCCAAAAGTAACTGACACTCAAAAACTTCTGCGTGCGTTTCCTCCTTATTGGCTAAACCAAATTTCCTGAAAATCGATATCAGGGGGTTTTCGAGGATGCTGAATACTGGAATGGAGCCGGAATTTTTGATTTTCTGCCTGGAATTATCTCCACCACTACTTCCACGTCCACCTTTCCCTCCACCCTTCTCTAGCTCCACCTCTTCTACTAGCTGCAGCTCCACCTGATCCCCTACGCCCACCGGGTCCTCTACGTCCACTTCACCCACCAATTCCATCACCCCCTCCTCCTTTTCCACCTCCACCTCCACCAGCAGCAGAGGAAATATTAAGTAATGATATAGAGAATATAGAATATATTGAATTCAGATGGTTATATACAGCTCTTTGATAGTAATATTGTTTTTATTCAAGTACAACAGAAATATTGAGCCGTCTGAGGAAGACGAAGAAATGGAGGAGGAGGTGGAAGAAACTGACCTGTAGCCACCCCCCCACTCCCACATTGTTAATTATTTCTGTTAAATTGTTTGAATAAAGTTACTGTTCTTACATATTTGTGACTTTGTCTTTATTTACTAGGCTTAATATATTACTGTGATGATTAATATGAAGTTTGAGTCTTATACGACCTGTCTATGATATCTGGCTGTTATAAAAATACTTAAAGGGATACTTCACCAGTTGAAACATGAATCTGTATTGAAATTGGGTCATATATGTAGTAGAAATGTGAAATAAATTTGGAAGTTAGTGCCTTCTTGTCTGAGAAAAGGCAGAAAGTGTACCGAGTGTTACATGCGGCTAATGCTACAGCTAACAGGAGGACGTAGGAGAAGCCGCGTTTCCGCGTTTAGTATAATTAATTGTATAATTGTAGTAATTGTTTTAGTATCCTTTAATATTTTGTAATATATTGTAGTATCCTGTAATATTCTGTAGTATTTTGTAGTAATATGAGGCATGACATAGTATTCTATAGTATCATGTTTTTCCTGTTGTATATTTTAGTATATAAAGCATCTGGTCGTATAATTATCAACTTGTATTGTCCTGAAGCATTTTCTAGTATCTTTTAGTATTCTTAAATAATTAGTAATATCTTGTAGCACTCCGTAGTATTTTATAGTATTCTGTAGTGTCTTGTTTTATTCTGTACTGAATTTCATATTTATGTATAATATATTACATAAATAGTGTAATTCATGTAATTAAACTAATGTAATCATTTTTTTTTAAATATATATAATGTATGTACATGTTTTAATTAATTTATAAAAAGGATTACTTGTATAATAAACAAAAATATATATTTTTTATTTTTTTATGTTCAACAAAACTGTATTTGCTATTTTTCCCAGTAAAATTGGATCGCATGCCTTTTGAACAGCCAATCAGAAAATTTCCTAGCCTCAGCCAATCAGAAAATTGGATTGCTTCTTCACATTCTAAATTAAATTTTAGCTGCGATACCACAAATGGCCTGTGGTGGGGCCCTATTTCACACACTTTTTTGACTTTACCAAGTCAATGAGGACCTTATCTGAAACTCATACAGATCATTCATAGGGATCAAAGGAGCACATCCTAGCATTCTCCTTGTGTGGACCAGGCAAAATGTCCACACAAGCAGAAATGACCTCACAACAAAGGTGTTTTGCCATGGTCCACACAAGCATAGAAAAACAAGTGCACACACACACACACACACACACACAAACATAGAGGCACACACATATAATAAACATTTGATGTGTCACTGGGAAAGTTTATCTCTCTCTTAATTCATAAATCTTCATTTTATTCATTCTTACTTTTTGTTCTCTCTGGTAGAGTCAGTATCGTTTTGAAGGGACCGGGTTCTCGACCATCCCTCAACTCATTGAGCATCATTTCTCCACCAAACACGTCATCACAAAGAAGTCGGGGGTCGTGCTGCTTAACCCCGTCGTTAAGGTGATGATGTTTGTTTACATTTGTCACAGCTGATCTTACAGTCTGAAATGTCTTAACCATGTTTCTTTACATGTAAACAAAAAACAGCTGATTCTTTGTGTGCAGGATAAAAAATGGATCCTGAATCACGAGGACGTGACGCTGGGCGAGCTGCTGGGAAAGGTGACCTCACTTCCTGATTCCTGTCATAGTTAACAAGTTCAAATTTCAGTTTGATCGATTTTTTACACTGCTCCCTCTGCCTACATGTCCCATCATGCTCTGCTGTCTGCTGGTTTCTAGGGTAACTTCGGGGAGGTGTTCAAAGGAACGCTGCAGCGAGACAAAATGCAGGTTGCTGTCAAAACATGTAAAGAAGATTTACCTCCAGAGCTGAAGATTCGCTTCCTGTCTGAGGCCAGGTGACATCATCAAACAACAAAAAAAACAAATAAACATAAAAACAAACAAATGAAAAAAGGAAGAACATAGAAAAGTATCTTGATGCTGGTCTGTGATTGGCTGATGTATCGTCATGCCTGTCTGTGATTGGCTGATCAGTATTGATGCCTGTCTGTGATTGGTTGCAGGATCCTTAAGCAGTACGACCATCCAAACATCGTGAAGCTGATTGGTGTTTGTACTCAACGACAGCCGATCTACATTGTCATGGAGCTGGTTCCAGGTAGGTGGAGCTTATCCAATGTCTGTTTATGGTGCTGTTTTGTTATTGGTTGGTTTGTAACAGGTGTGTGGGGTTTGTCTGTCAGGTGGAGACTTCCTGTCTTTTCTGAGGAAGAAGAAGGACGAGCTGAAGACGAAGCAGCTGGTCCGTTTCTCTGTCGATGCTGCTGCTGGGATGGCGTACCTGGAGAGTAAGAACTGTATCCACAGGTAAACCATTACAATGTATCACAGTCTGTAAACGCATCACCTGCTCAGGTGAAAGCAACACTTCATGTACCAGAGCTCTCAGATAAGCTGTTCAGTCTGTCTGTCTCTCACCTGTGTGTCTCTCACCTGTATGTCTCTCGCCTGTGTGTCTCTCACCTATGTCTCTCACCTGTCTGTCTCTCACCTGTGTGTCTCTTAGGGACCTGGCAGCGAGGAACTGTCTGGTGGGTGAGGGCAGTGTGTTGAAGATCAGTGATTTTGGGATGAGCCGACAGGAGGACGATGGGATTTATTCTTCATCAGGATTAAAACAGATCCCCATAAAGTGGACCGCTCCAGAGGCCCTCAATTATGGTAACACCTTTCACACCTGACACATGTCTCACACCTGACACACCTGACACACCTTACACACCTGACACACTTCACAAACACCTTTTTAATCTGTTTTACATCTGGCTTCTTTGTCTCTTTCTCTGTGATTGACTGCTGATGTCTCCTGCTCTGTAATTGGCTGCTGATGTCCCCTGCTCTGTGATTGGCTGCTACAGGTCGTTACAGCTCAGAGAGTGATGTTTGGAGTTATGGAATCCTGCTGTGGGAGACCTTCAGTTTGGGGGTGTGTCCTTATCCTGGAATGACCAATCAGCAAGCTCGAGAGCAGGTGGAGAAAGGTAAGGGGGGGGGGGGGGGTAAACAGGAAGTAAACCAGCAGACATCCGAAGTTTCCTGTTCTGTTTGAGTGTTTTAATAAAGTTTTGAGCTGTGTCTGAAATCCCTCCCTCTTCCCTATAAAGTGAGTTATGTGTAGGGGTTAGCTGTTGTTTTGTTGTCTGACTCATTAAATGGAGTAGAAGAAGAAAAAGATTCTCTTCAACCCCTCCTTTCTTTCTTTCTTGTTGCTAGGTTACAGGATGGCGTGTCCTCAGCGTTGCCCTGACGATGTGTACAAAGTGATGCAACGATGCTGGCAGTACAACCCCGAAGACAGACCCAAGTTCATCGAGCTGCAGCGAGACCTCGCCGCCATCAAGAAAAAGTGACGACATCACCTCGCCACCATCAAGTAAAAGTGATGACATCACCTCGCCGCCATCAAGTAAAAGTGATGACATCACCTCGCCGCCATCAAGTAAAAGTGATGACATCACCTCGCTGCCATCAAGTAAAAGTGATGACATCATCACATACCTCGCCACTTTCTGAAAGAAGTGATGATGTCATCACTCCCCTGGCCATCATCAGACTTCCGTGTTTTTGTTGTAGACTGTGGGCGTGGTCACACTGTTTTTTTAAAGGAAAGCTTTAAAACACTAGAGTTCAGCCGTGATGTCATCACGCACTGAGCATGTCTGTTAGCGAACAGAAACAAACGGGAACTTCTCATTTAGCTTTTGTAAGAATAAACTCTTCATCACCGCAGTTTATACGTGAACGAGCGGTTTGAACTGTTAGCCTAACAGTAGCGTAGCATTAGCTTAGCAGTCGATACCTTCAAACACAAACTTTATTAACGTCTGTAAATATCGACATGACTCGTTTTATTTATTTATTTTGTTTCAAACATTCAGAAATAAAAAAAGGTGCCAAAACAATAAAAGGTGCATGCAACGCCACGCCCCCTTCACACTAATACTTTGTTACCATGGCAACTGTTTGAACCCTAGAAATGTCTTCACATCTGAGGACCAATCAGCTCTCTTTATACCTTATTTTAATTTATTTAACTTTTGATGTTAAACTGAACTTTATTTTGAAAAACCAGCTGTCACTCATGACACAGGCCACGCCCACACAAGTTTTTTTTTTTTAAGATTTCATTTAAATTTTGTTCCACAAAAACGTGAAACAGTTCCGATTATTTTAAATAAAAAAATTCTGTTTGTTTTTTTATTTTTTATAAATAAATCCTCAGCACTTACTTGTTTACTTCCTGGTTTTCATGGTGACCGAAAAGTTTCAGATTAATTTCTATATGCTTCAAATTCCAGTCTGTCTGATTGGTCAGCATCACTTCATGCTGGTGATGTCATAGCTGCTACTGTCGCTGTAAATAAAGTTAATTTAATGTTTGTTTTTTAAATGTTTGAGTTTTTACACTTTTATGTTGAAACACTAATCTTTGTATTTTATATTTGTTTAAACTCTTTATAAAAACACTATCGTATCATTTATTACAAAAATCAATAAAACAATAAAAACACAGCTGACGGCGTCCGTCTTCTCTGACCCGGATAATGTTAGCATGAAGCTAACAGCAATGTCTCACACCTGACACACCTGACACACCTTACACACCTGACACACTTCACAAACACCTTTTAATCTGTTTTTACATCGGCTTCTTTGTCTCTTTCTCTGTGATTGACTGCTGATGTCTCCTGCTCTGTAATTGGCTGCTGATGTCCCCTGCTCTGTGATTGGCTGCTACAGGTCGTTACAGCTCAGAGAGTGATGTTTGGAGTTATGGAATCTGCTGTGGGAGACCTTCAGTTTGGGGTGTGTCCTTATCCTGGAATGACCAATCAGCAAGCTCGAGAGCAGGTGGAGAAAGTAAGGGGGGGGGGTAAACAGGAAGTAAACCAGCAGACATCCGAAGTTTCCTGTTCTGTTTGAGTGTTTTAAAAAGTTTTGAGCTGTGCTGAAATCCCTCCCTCGCCCTATAAAGTGTATGTGTAGGGGTTAGCTTGTTTTGTTGTCTGACTCATTAAATGGAGTAGAAGAAGAAAAAGATTCTCTTCAACCCCTCCTTTCTTTTCTTTCTTGTTGCTCGGTTACAGGATGGCGTGTCCTCAGCGTTGCCCTGACGATGTGTACAAAGTGATGCAACGATGCTGGCAGTACAACCCCGAAGACAGACCCAAGTTCATCGAGCTGCAGCGAGACTCGCCGCCATCAAGAAAAAGTGACGACATCACCTCGCCACCATCAAGTAAAAGTGATGACATCACCTCGCCGCAATTATAAAAACAATAACAACGTTTTCCCGATAAACTATCAGGAGTCAAAAAAGGCAGGAAAATCAAACATCAAGATGTTAACCGGTGACGCCAGAGCAGCACCGGACCTTCCTAGACTGGTCCTTCTTAGACTGGACCTTCATTGACTGGTCCTTCTTAGACTGGACCTTCTCAGACTGGACCTTCTCAGACTGGTCCTTCTTTAACTGGCCCCTCTTAGACTGGTCCTTCTTAGACTGGACCTTCTTTGACTGGACCTTCTTAGACTGGTCCTTCTTAGACTGGTCCCTCTTAGACTGGACCTTCTTTGACTGGACCTTCTCAGACTGGACCTTCTCAGACTGGACCTTCTTAGACTGGACCTTCTTAGACTGGACCTTCTTTAACTGGTCCCTCTTAGACTGGTACTTCTTAGACTGGACCTTCTTTGACTGGACCTTCTCAGACTGGTCCTTCTTAGACTGGACCTTCTTAGACTGGACCTTCTTAGACTGGTCCTTCTTTAACTGGTCCTTCTTAGACTGGTCCTTCTCAGACTGGACCTTCTTTAACTGGTCCTTCTTAGACTGGACCTTCTCAGACTGGACCTTCTCAGACTGGACCTTCTTTAACTGGTCCTTCTTAGACTGGACCTTCTTTAACTGGTCCTTCTCAGACTGGACCTTCTCAGACTGGACCTTCTCAGACTGGACCTTCTTAGACTGGACCTTCTCAGACTGGACCTTCTTTAACTGGTCCTTCTTAGACTGGTCCTTCTTAGACTGGTCCTTCTCAGACTGGACCTTCTTTGACTGGACCTTCTCAGACTGGTCCTTCTTAGACTGGACCTTCTCAGACTGGACCTTCTTTAACTGGTCCTTCTTAGACTGGTCCTTCTTAGACTGGTCCTTCTCAGACTGGACCTTCTTTACTGGTCCTTCTTAGACTGGACCTTCTCAGACTGGACCTTCTCAGACTGGACCTTCTTTAACTGGTCCTTCTTAGACTGGACCTTCTTTAACTGGTCCTTCTCAGACTGGACCTTCTCAGACTGGACCTTCTCAGACTGGACCTTCTTAGACTGGACCTTCTCAGACTGGTCCTTCTTAGACTGGACCTTCTTTGACTGGTCCTACACAAACTGGACCTTCTTAGACTGGTCCTACTCAAACTGGACCTTCTTTAACTGGTCCTTCTCAGACTGGACCTTCTTTAACTGGTCCTTCTTAGACTGGTCCTTCTTTAACTGGTCCTTCTTAGACTGGACCTTCTCAGACTGGACCTTCTCAGACTGGTCCTTCTTTAACTGGCCCCTCTTAGACTGGTCCTTCTTAGACTGGACCTTCATTGACTGGTCCTTCTTAGACTGGACCTTCTCAGACTGGACCTTCTCAGACTGGACCTTCTTAGACTGGTCCCTCTTAGACTGGACCTTCTTTGACTGGACCTTCTCAGACTGGACCTTCTTTGACTGGACCTTCTCAGACTGGACCTTCTTTAACTGGTCCCTCTTAGACTGGTACTTCTTAGACTGGACCTTCTTAGACTGGTCCTTCTTTAACTGGTCCTTCTTAGACTGGACCTTCTTAGACTGGACCTTCTCAGACTGGACCTTCTCAGACTGGACCTTCTCAGACTGGACCTTCTCAGACTGGTCCTTCTTTAACTGGTCCTTCTTAGACTGGACCTTATTTAACTGGTCCTTCTCAGACTGGACCTTCTCAGACTGGACCTTCTCAGACTGGTCCTTCTTAGACTGGACCTTCTTTGACTGGTCCTACTCAAACTGGACCTTCTTTAACTGGTCCTTCTCAGACTGGACCTTCTTTAACTGGTCCTTCTTAGACTGGTCCTTCTTTAACTGGTCCTTCTTAGACTGGTCCTTCTTAGACTGGCCCCTCTTAGACTGGACCTTCTTAGACTGGACCTTCTTTGACTGGTCCTCTTAGACTGGACCTTCTTTGACTGGACCTTCTCAGACTGGTCCTTCTTAGACTGGTCCTTCTTTAACTGGTCCCTCTTAGACTGGTACTTCTTAGACTGGACCTTCTTAGACTGGACCTTCTTAGACTGGACCTTCTTAGACTGGTCCTTCTTTGACTGGTCCTACTCAAACTGGACCTTCTTAGACTGGTCCTTCTCAGACTGGACCTTCTTTAGCTGGACCTTCTTAGACTGGTCCTTCTCAGACTGGCCCTCTTAGACTGGACCTTCTTAGACTGGACCTTCTTAGACTGGACCTTCTTTGACTGGTCCTCTTAGACTGGACCTTCTTTGACTGGACCTTCTCAGACTGGACCTTCTTAGACTGGTCCTTCTTTAACTGGTCCTCTTAGACTGGTACTTCTTAGACTGGACCTTCTTAGACTGGACCTTCTTAGACTGGTCCTTCTTAGACTGGACCTTCTTTGACTGGTCCTACTCAAACTGGACCTTCTTAGACTGGTCCTTCTTTAACTGGTCTTTCTTTAACTGGTCCTTCTTAGACTGGTCCTTCTTTAACTGGTCCTTCTTAGACTGGACCTTCTTTAGCTGGACCTTCTTTAACTGGTCCTTCTTAGACTGGTCCTTCTTTAACTGGTCCTTCTTAGACTGGACCTACTCAACTGGACCTTCTTAGACTGGTCCTTCTTTAACTGGTCTTTCTTTAACTGGTCCTTCTTAGACTGGTCCTTCTTTAACTGGTCCTTCTTTGACTGGTCCTTCTTTAACTGGTCCTTCTTTGACTGGTCCTACTCAAACTGGACCTTCTTAGACTGGTCCTTCTCAGACTGGACCTTCTTTAGCTGGACCTTCTTTAACTGGTCCTTCTTAGACTGGTCCTTCTTTAACTGGTCTTTCTTTAACTGGTCTTTCTTTAACTGGTCCTTCTCAGACTGGTCCTTCTTAGACTGGACCACCGTTAATTTGTCTGAAACTGGTCTAGTCTCAGGGTAACTGGGAGCCCTGGTTTCTTACTCACACTGAATGTCACAGATAAGCTAAGCTAACTGGCTAACGTCTGTTTTAACCTTTCAAAAGAGTAACCGGAAGCAGAGTTCCCGCGCTCAGAACTCACCGTCTCACGGTAGATATGTATTTAACGGAAGAGAGAAAGTACCTGAAAGGTGTGCTCCGGTGTCCCCGCGGATGTGTGTCTCTCTTGTTCGTGTTTACTGCAGCCGGTGTTATGTCGAAAAGTGCTACCTATCGAGATTTGATACCAAGTTGTTGTGCGCATGAGCAGAGGAGCCACAATCTCGTCGTTAGAGTTTAAATAAAGAGTTTGTAAAGTGTTTTAAAAAGCTCCCTGACTGTGATACTGGCACAGGTGTAAAATAAAAGGTTCACACCTGGGATATTTTATGATTCGCGTAGAGGAAGCATTTTTCAACAGGCAGCTAAACTCGATGATACACTAGGAAAACAAACACACTTGAACCGGAAGCTGACTGCGTGTTTACATCCGGGTCAGTCGGCACGGAGACGCAGTAGCTTCGCGTGTTCTCAGGTGAAAGAATAAGGTGAGTTTAAAACTAAAACATTTTTAAAGTGAAGTTTATAAAAGCACCTGATTGACGTCATACGTCCTGCGGCTCAGCTGTATGCGTGTGACGTCAGTGAGACTCGCTTGTTCTGTTTGTGGGTGCTGATGCTAATGCTAATGTTAGCAGTGAGCCCTATGAGTGAACCGCGTTTTCTTCTCCTGTTTTCTCTCCAAAATATTTATCCGAAGTCAGTCTGATAATCGATTAATGTTGGAAGACCTGCTCTTTGATTAAACTTAGGTGTTAAAATAATTAAAGTAAAATGAAAGAAAGTCATTATACCACCCTGCTGTTCACACACTTTAACTTTCACTGCACATTTCGTTTATATTTCTTTTTTTATCTTACTATTCTGATTTGTTCTTTATATTTGTATTTCCTACTTCTGTGTCTCCCCGCGCGGGATCAATAAAGTCTGATCTTATTTAATGTAGTGAAACAGAAACCACAGAAGAAGAGTTTACATGTTGAATGAAAGGATTGTATCAGGAGCTTTCTCTCTGTATCACATTGAAACTCATTCATCATGTACTAGCGTTGCCACCTTCCAAGCAGAAACATAAAGGACACCCAGCGGGGTGCAACTCAGTAGGGGCCTGACCACCACTGGCCCAACGGTGGGGTGGGGCACCAGTTGTGGTGAATCATGATTTAAAACGTGGTTTTAGTGAAGTAATAAGAGTCATACTTAAAGTTTTAAGTGCTTTATTAACACCTTTTTTCTGAAATAATTCACAAAAACTCAAAACTTGAGTGTAAAGGCAGATACAGTAATGTATGCACAATGAAATGCACCTAACAGGACTTCAGAAGATGATTACTACTAGGTAGGCCTATTTAATTTACAACTTAACTTAAACTTCAAATAAAGTTATTAACTTAACATTAATTCATTAACAGAGTAATATTGAAGTGCTTTTGACACTGCTGTAACATAGAGGGGAGCAGTAAGATGACAGGTTTTTAATTACATGAACAGTACAAATTTAATAGTATTTTTATTCATTATTCTGTCATTTGTTGTTTTCTCATCATGAATGATACTATTAATATGGTTTTGAACTATTTTCTTATTGTATTAATGAAGTGTCTACTGTCGATATATTGATGTTGTATTGATGATATCTCGCCCAGGCCAAACTGTGAATACAGATTTGGCTAAAATAAATGTCATCTTTTTGTTTTACGTACCGAAAAATGTTCACACTATCCAAACTATACTGGAATAACCTATCTATAAACATCGGAGAAACTATATCAAGTAGGCCTACAATAGTTTCCTTTACATTATATTCATTTTCACTGACACTGTCAAGCCAGGCATTACTTTCTACTCACGTCTGTATTTCTATCCGTTTACCTATCTGGCGTTCTTTAGGCTCCGTCTTCCTCGGTAGATTTCTTGTCATTAATTTGTATTTTTTTTTAACGTTGAAATATTTCTGGAGGTAAAAGAGAACGTTTGTCTGTTTAATCATTAACCTCTCTGTCTGTCATTTCCCCCGCAGCCTCTGGGGGGCGACAGCAGCAGCACAAGAAGAAAAAGAAGGGTATAAAAATGTCAGACGAGGAGGATGCGGCGCCGGCCGTGAAGAGGAGTCGAGTCTTCTACGGAAGCCTGGAGGAGAAAGAGCGCGAGCGTCTGAGCTCAGAGATGGCGAGCAGCACCGGAAGTAATGCGGTGAAGGCGGGAATCGAGGCTGGAAACATCAACATCTCGTCAGGTGGGTCTGGCATCATGAAACTACAGGATGTAATCATGATGTGTGTCAGAGACTCAATTTCCCATGATGCCCTGCAGGGGAGACCATGGAGATGGAGGAGCGTGTCAGCGAGCGGCAGCAGGATGCACTCGCCGCATTCGAGCGGCGGCGGCGAGCAAGACAAATCACCGTCTCCACGGACGACGCAGAGGTGAAAGCTGGCCTACGAGCACTCGGGGAGCCAATCACGTTGTTCGGAGAGGGACCAGCTGACCGCAGAGAGAGGTGAGGAAAAAAATGAAACAAAAAAATTTGACCTTCATTTTAAAAAATACACGGATACAAACATGTGTGTGTGTGTTTGTGATATCAGGCTTCGCAGTGTCCTCTCTGTGGTCGGTCCGGACGCTCTGAAGAAGTCGAGGAGAGATGAAGAGAGGGCGAAGAGATCCCAGGACGAGGTCAGCACACGCACGCACACACACACACACACACACACCTACACGCACAGGTAATCTAAAATCTTTTGATTTGATGTTTACATGTAGACACGCTCGAATTAATTTAATTCTTTTAATTTAAATTTGAAACGTTTCTTCTTTCTGACCAATCACAGTGCCAGCAGACGTGGTACCATGAAGGCTCCGCCTTCCTAAAGGAGGCCCGCCTCTGGTTGGCCAAATACTCTCTGCCTCGGTAAGTCTTTAGTCCGGTCTCTGTAAAGTGACAGATCTATGATCACCTCTTTCTGTGTCTTTGTCTAAATGATCCTGTCTGTGATTGGCTGATCAGGGCAATGAGGCGTCTGGAGGCTGCACGCGCTCAGAGGGACGTTTCCGAGGCCACCAGGACGTTGAAACAGCAGGAGCTGCACAAGAGTCTGAGAGTGAGAGAGAGCAACACACACACACACAAACACACACACATACAATAAAAATGTTATTAACACCTTCAATGAAAAACAGAATAGATGTCTTCATTTCTTCTTCTTCTTCTTCTTCTTCAGAATCTGAACAACTTCTGCAGTCAGATCGGAGACGATCGGCCAATCAGCTTCTGCCACTTCAGCCCCGACTCCAAAATGCTGGCCACTGCCTCCTGGTGAGAAGCCCCACCCACATTAGGATCAGCACACTTAGCACACTAACCCTGACTGCAGTGTGCATGTACATTCAGACTTAGCATTATATCATAGATGATCAGACATGATCCTGTTCTGATGAAGCTAATGCTAACATGCTAACATGCTGACCCCCCCCCCCATCCCCTACAGGAGCGGTCTGTGTAAGCTGTGGTCAGTCCCTGACTGTAACCTGATCCGTACACTCAGAGGTGGGTGGGGCTTCATATTTATTTATATTTTATGTCAATGTGAAGATTTCCTATATTACTGAGGTCCTGCCCTCTTCTTTGTCTCTGCGCTCTGATTGGCTGCAGGGCACAACACCAACGTGGGAGCCATTGTGTTCCGCCCACAGGCCGGAGTCTCTCTCGACCAATCAGACGTCAGCCTTGCCTCATGTGCTGCAGATGGATCTGTAAAGCTGTGGAACCTAGAGAGGTGAGGGGGCGGGGCTTTGTCAGAAAAATAACCACGGCCATCTCCTTAAATGGTCACTCACTTATGTCTTCCTCTCTCTGGTTACCGTAGTGATGAGCCGGTGGCTGACATAGAGGGTCACAGTGAGCGAGTCTCTCGAGTGTCCTGGCATCCTTCTGGAAGGTTCCTGGGAACAACCAGGTACACGCGCACACACACAAACAGACTTAGACACACACACAGACACACACACACTCACATTATTCAACCATCTCTCTCTCTCCCTCTCCCTCTCTCTCTCGCTGTAGTTATGATAACTCGTGGCGTCTGTGGGATCTGGAGGTTCAGGAGGAAATTCTTCATCAGGAAGGTCACAGTAAAGGAGTCCACGACCTCGGCTTTCACCCTGACGGCTCATTGGCTGCTACAGGGTAATAAACACACTGACCTGAGCTCTTAGGGTTATGTGGTCATGGTCATGGTCGTAGTTATGGTTATGTGGTTATGGTCGTGGGCCGCCTGTCTGTGTGACTTCGCCCCCCTTTCAGTGACTAACCACCTCTCATTCTGACCACCTGTGTCCTTTCTGCTATTGTCCAATCAGAGGGTTAGATGCGTTTGGAAGAGTGTGGGACCTTCGGACGGGACGCTGCGTCGTCTTCCTGGAGGGACACCTGAAGGAAATCTACAGCCTGCACTTCTCGCCAAATGGGTCAGCCAATCACAGAGCAGCTCACTGTAAACACAGCCAATCACAGAGCAGCTCACTGTGCCAAACACAGCCAATCACGGAGAGCATGTTATTTGTCAAAACAAACTCTCATCTGTGTCTGTGTTCGTGTGTGTGCAGGTATCATTTGGCCACAGGAAGTGGCGATAACACCTGTAAGGTCTGGGAGCTAAGAAACAGGAAGTGCTTGTACACAGTCCCCGCCCACCAGAACCTGCTGTCAGCTGTTCGCTTCCAACGTAAACAAAAACATGTTTATTTTTCTCTTTTTATATCAAAAACTGCTCGTGTTTGTCTGTGACCTCACTTCCTGTTTCTATCTCTGACATCACTTCCTGCTCCGTGTGCAGCCACAGACGGTCACTTCCTGTTGACTGGAGCATACGACAACACAGCAAAGGTTTGGAGTCACCCAGGCTGGACGCCGCTAAAGACTCTTGCCGGACACGAGGGGAAGGTATGTTTTGTGCTATGATTGGTCCTTTGAGACGCTGCTGATTGGAGGAGACTTCTCAACTCTCATTAACACGTTTTTTTTCTCAGGTGATGGGCGTCGACGTGTCACCTGATGGGAAGCTCATCGCCACCAGCTCCTACGACCGAACCTTCAAGCTCTGGCTGTCTGAGTGATGTCATGATGATGTCATGATGTCACGGCAGAGGCAGAACATGGAGCTGAAATAGTTTTTTGTTTTCTGACAAATACATTTTCTTTTTATGTTTTTTAAATAAAATTGTCTTTTCTGGATTTTGTTTCTTTCGTTGTTTTGTTGATTCATGGAAAACGATGAAACAGTCAGAGGTCAAAAGGTAAACAGATTGTGGAAAAACAAAACATGAGGTAAAAAAGGCGGTGATGATAAGCAGACGGTTTTTAACCCACGTCTCTGAGGAGATGATCCTGAAACGTTCTCTCTCCACATCTGGAACGAGAAGGCAGTCTCTCTCTCCACATCTGGAAAAAGAAGGCAGTCTCTCTCTCCACATCTGGAAAAAGAAGGCAGTCTCGCTCTCCACATCTGGAAAAAGAAGGCAGTCTCTCTCTCCACATCTGGAACATGAAGGACATTCTCTCTCTCTTCACATCTGGAACATGAAGGACATTATCTCTCTCCACATCTGGAACAAGAAGGCTGTCTCTCTCCACATCTGGAACATAAAGGACATTCTCTCCACATCTGGAACAAGAAGGCTGTCTTTCTCCACATCTGGAACATGAAGGACATTCTCTCTCCACATCTGGAACATGAAGGACTCTCTCTCTCCACATCTGGAACAAGAAGGCAGTCGCTCTCCACATCTGGAACATGAAGGACATTCTCTCTCCACATCTGGAACAAGAAGGCAGTCGCTCTCCACATCTGGAACAAGAAGGCTGTCTCTCTCTCCACATCTGGAACATGAAGGACATTCTCTCCACATCTGGAACAAGAAGGCTGTCTCTCTCTCCACATCTGGAACATGAAGGCAGTCTCTCCACATCTGGAACATGAAGGACATTCTCTCTCCACATCTGGAACATGAAGGACATTCTCTCTCCACATCTGGAACATGAAGGACATTCTCTCTCCACATCTGGAACATGAAGGACATTCTCTCTCTCCACATCTGGAACATGAAGGCATCTCTCTCTCCACATCTGGAACATGAAGGACATTCTCTCTCTCCACATCTGGAACAAGAAGGCAGTCTCTCTCCACATCTGGAACATGAAGGACATTCTCTCTCTCGCCCCATCTGGAACATGAAGGACATTCTCTCTCTCCACATCTGGAACATGAAGGACATTCTCTCTCTCTCTCCACATCTGGAACAAGAAGGCAGTCTCTCTCCACATCTGGAACATGAAGGACATTCTCTCTCTCCACATCTGGAACAAGAAGGCAGTCTCTCTCTCCACATCCGGAACAAGAAGGCAGTCTCTCTCCACATCTGGAACATGAAGAACATTCTCTCTCTCTCCACATCTGGAACAAGAAGGCAGTCTCTCTCTCCACATCCGGAACAAGAAGGCAGTCTCTCTCTCTCTCCACATCTGGAACAAGAAGGACATCTCTTTCCACATCTGGAACATGAAGGACATTCTCTCTCTCTCTCCACATCTGGAACAAGAAGGCAGTCTCTCTCTCCACATCTGGAACAAGAAGGCAGTCTCTCTCTCCACATCTGGAACAAGAAGGCAGTCTCTCTCTCCACATCTGGAACAAGAAGGACATTCTCTCTCTCTCTCCACATCTGGAACAAGAAGGCATCTCTCTCTCTCCACATCTGGAACAAGAAGGACATTCTCTCTCTCTCTCCACATCTGGAACAAGAAGGACATTCTCTCTCTCTCTCTCCCTGATCTGCATCTCATTTCATAGCTTCCAACCAGTATACATTTGTGCCAGTTCATAAACCATCACTTTAGAGAGGCTGAGACATGTTCTTGTCTTTTACCCTTCACACAAAGCATGTCTCCATAAGGATCAGGTCTAAGTCAGGACCAGGAACTTTTTTAAAACAAGAGTTCTCTCGGGTCGTGATACAGGGACAGATAAGTACACCTGTTTAATTTTCCATGAAGAGGTAATATAGCACACTGTTTGCTATTTAAGTCTTCCTTTAATAAACGTTAAGTTCTCAGCTGTGGCTTATAAACCACAGAAGAAGAGTTAGTCTGGACTCATGACCTGACAAACATCGTTTTTATCTTAACTATTGTTCATAGCTGTCATTATAAATAAAGTTTCTTTGAAACAAAGTAAAAAAAACGCCCCCTCGTGACTGAGTCACGTGAGCGGTCTGCATCGTGACGTGCCATCAGCTGACTGCAGTCCTGAGGAAGAAGAAGAAGATAAATCGTCGGTCGACCTTCATCAGTCGGTGAATCTTTCCGCTGTTTCCTTCAACATGGCGAGTCAGTCTCAGGGCATCCAGCAGCTGCTGCAGGCAGAGAAGAGAGCCGCCGAGAAGGTGGCTGAAGCCCGCAAGCGTGAGTACTAGAGGCCCGGGTGTGAGGGCCTGCACAGGCCCGGAGCCAGACCGAGCGGCTTATACCGGACAAAACACCGGATAAACACCGGATAAACACCGGATACAACCCCGGTCAATGCTCCGGAGAGTCTGCGGAATATGAGAGAGAGAGTATGGAGGATAAAACCAGAAAAATTAGAAATGGGAGAGATGTGAAGCCCACCGAGCTAACGGATCATCTGCTTATATTTATTTTAACATTAATATTGCGTTAATTTGTATCTTATAATCATTCTATATTGTGTTTCAAAGTTCAGACAGCAGATTGATGTTAAGTGAGTGAGATGGTTTGAACCCTCCGGACTCCTGTTCATTTCTAAACTGGTTTTTCAGTCTCTATCACGGAGGTCCGCGCGCTTCCTGCGGGTAATAACCCCGGTAAAAACAGGAAATAAAAACCGATTAATAAATTAAATGTGAGCCGAATTCAAGACTGTGTCCTGAAATTTCTGATACGAGTTTAAAGTGACGTCATTTCATTTTATCTTTGTCTTTAAAAACATGTTGTACAACAGAGGCTAAAGTTTGAATGGCGTTTGGTGAAGTCATCAAAGCTCGAGTTGTTTGATTGTTGACACTATGGAAACCCTGAGTGGACAAACTTCCCTACATTTGATTCATGGTGTTATCTCGGCGTTACTGCTGCTCATGGTCAAACATTTTGAATGGGACTGAAATATTACTGAAGATCATTTCCATAAATGAATTCATTTGGTTGTTGATGATTTAATGGTTTAAGCCTCCTGGCTGTGTTTACACTGAATTCTCTTTAATCCTTCACTTATTAGATAAAATCGTCTGCGCTCATTAAAACGTCAATGAACCAGAACTTCCCTCACTTCCTGATTACTCAGCGTGAGTCAGCCGCTGAGCATCATGGGATGTGGTGTTCTTGTCTGGTGATAAAGAGTCATACAGACCGACCAGAGAGAGAGGATGATTGATTCAATCAGCTCAGACTCAAATGATTGGATCTGTTTTTCTAACGGTCGATGGCGTTAGCCTCGCTCCTCCGACTTATCCAAACTTTCACAACCTGTTTGAGTTATAGACAGCGTGCAGGAGTTTGTCTACAATTTGTGATGATTAATAACAATAAATAAAACAATATTGGGTGTTTAGGACTTCTGTTTCTGTTGCCATGGTGACAAACGTGTATCTCTGTCTCTCTGTCGCCCCCTGTAGGTAAGAACCGCCGTCTGAAGCAGGCTAAAGAAGAAGCTCAGGCTGAGATAGAACAGTATCGTCTGCAGAGAGAGAAAGAGTTCAAGACCAAAGAGGCCGCTGTACGTACACACCTTCACACCACTACACACACACCAGTACACAACTACACAACTACACACACCACTACAAACACCTTCACACGCCTACATGCTACAGTACTGCATTAATACTGTTTTTCTGTTTTGTTGTGATGTCAGGCACTTGGTTCCCATGGTAACAGCGCGGTGGAGGTGGACAGGGACACGGTCGAGCGGATGGGTCGTATCCAGAACAGTTACCGTGGTAACAGGGAGACAGTGTTGGGCGAGCTGCTGCGGCACGTCTGTGACATCCAGCCAGAGTTTCACGCCAACTACCGTGTGGCTGGCTGAGGGGGCGGAGCCATTCATGTAAACAAGCGGTGGAGTTAAGGCGGTAGGGGGCGGGGTAAACAGAGACGTGGATGTTAGCAACACTAGCTCGGTTAGCTTCTGTCACAGCAAAAACAGTTCCTTTTTATTTCAAGTTTTTTTGTGGCTGAAACTTAAACATACAGAGCTTTTATTTTGAAGTTGCATTCTTCCTGTTTCCTGCTCCAAAAATAAAAAAAACAGTAAATGTTGTTACTGTGTCGATGTTTACGAAATATTTATAAATATAAGAATCATTTTGTTTGTCAAAGCTTAACCTTAAATCCTCCTGAACTTAAATTAAAGTCTTTATTTACTGTGAAGAGAATGTGAGGCGTCAGTTTGAAAAGAACCAACAGGCATCAGTTATAACTCTTGATGACCTGATTGGCTGAAAAAGGCTTTTATTGTGGAACTTTTATGCTTTGCTGTATTTTTGTGTTTGTTTCCTGTATGTGACCATGTGACTTCCTGTTGACTTTTGTGAGGTGATGTAAAACAGAAAATATTAAAGTGAATGGTGATTGGCTGAACCTGTGTGATTCTACTCTGTGATTGGCTGAAATTAATCAGGTCTTATGCTGCATTCAGGTGCTCCTAGTTTCTGAGTTGTGAAGTCATTCTTCTGACTTCAGTGTGCTCACGTGATTTCAGAAAGTCTGAATGTGTAACAGCAAAAACAGCGTTGATGCTCCGAAGAAGATCAGAGAAATGCAACTTAAAAGTTACATTTGAGCAAAGAGTTGATGGTCAATACGTGGATAAATAAAAAGTATGTTAACAAACTAAACATATTTTTCCACCATGTGACGATGATTCTGACGTCGAGTCGAGAAGTCGGGCACCTCATTCTGTTCCGGCTTGTTGTTCCGACTTGAGTAGGTGTTCATGTTAATTTCACAACTCGGAAACTCGTTTTTCCCATCTTTCCTAAACCACATGAATGCAGCATAACGGTAAATAAGAGGCATCCCTCTGGATGTCTTCAGGTTACTGAGATATCATCATGATGCTGATTGGTTTAAAGAAGGCGAGCTTCATCAGGTGTGTCCTCGAGAGGAGAAGAAAACACTTTCTGAACGATTGTTCATGAGGAGGTAGAGGACGTCTGACACACACACACGCACGCACACAGACAGACACACAGACAGACACACAGACACACACACACACACACACACGCACACACACAGACAGACACGCAGACAGACACACAGACACGCACGCACAGACACAATGATCAAACAAGTAAAACGTTAATTGGTATAACATTTATAAATTATGATATATATAAGTGTGTGTGGTTGTGATTATATTAGTATATAATTTTCTGTCGGCCTCACGCGCTGGTCACCTGACCTCCTCACTACAAACAGCACATACGTGGCTCACACGGAGTCCCGCCCTTCACCCCTCGACTCGTCCTCTGATTGGTTCAAACTAGATATCTAAACAGTTTTCTCCACTTATTTTAGCTCCTCCCCCGCGTTCCTCATGCATGCGTCATGACGCACGGAAGCGGCGCAGCGGAGAAGAAGACGGTGAGGAGAAGTTGAACAAGCGAGCGACTTTCTCTTTTCTTTGTGTCTTTTCTCTTGTTGTGAGCCGGAGGTGTCAGACTTCAGAGCCAACCGGAGGAGGAGAAAAAGAAGAGTTCGTGGGAGATTTAGAGGTGAGCTCGAGCTGTGTGTGTGTGTGTTTCAGTTTATGTGTGTTACTCTGTCAGTGACCTCTGCTGCTACACACCAGCACACTGTCGGCTACCGTACACATGTCCATAGACAAGAGTTACATTTTAAGGCTTTCTTTTAAATAGCCGGCATTATGGACGTGTTAGATGCACACCTGTGACAGTGTGAGTTCAGGACTGTCTGACAGGTAATTCGGCAGGTATATAATTGACCTGCAGAGCCTTTATGTCCACGAACACCAGCCTCTGATGAGCTGATGTCTGTGGATGCTCGCCGCCGTTTTCCTGTGGTGTGCTTGAGGAAGTAGAGAGGATTTAAAGGAGATCTGGAAAAGGTGTTTATAAACTTTAATGTACAATTGGCACATTATTAGTTCGCTGAAAGGCAGGTGTGGAGTTGACGTCTAGCGCGTGCACACGTAGGTAATTACAGCTGACAGTTTCTTTAATGACGCCCGCAGCTCTGTGCTGAGATTCTGCGTCACCTGGGTCAGAGGACCTGTTATTACACCCAGCAGAAATAAGTGAGACGTAGAGACGGTCTGACGTCACACGAGCAGCAGGTGAATCTTTACAGCACGAGCATATGACAGCTCTGTGTACCAGGCTGATAAATCACTGATAAATCACTGATAATTTAACACTGCGAGAAGAACAGCAGTCACGTGACCCCGTCCAGGTGTGAACCCCGTGTGTGCAGGTGATGTGTGTGTGTGTGCGTGATGTGATTTTTTTTTTTTTTTACCTACTGCAATTGCACTTTATAACGACTCCCCTTTAAGTAAGGACAGAAGACATTTAAACTTTAGCCTGAGCTGCATATATCAGATGTCAAACTGTATTGTGGGCTCATGGTTTTTTGTATGGGTGGGATGTATATATGTGTTGTGTTGTGTGTTTGTATGTATGGTGGCTGCTGGAACACCTAAATGTCCCTGCTGGGATGAATAAAGTGTATCTTATCTTATCTTATCTTATGTGAGATGTGTTGTGTGTGTGTCTGTGGTACCGATAAAGGTGTGATGACCCGTTGGTCGAAGTTCAGACACGTTGCTGATTCGTTCAGGGTCAGTAGCGCTTGCTTCAATCTGATTGGCTGATGACACATCTGCAGGTGTAAAACACCTGAGCAGGTGAAAGTCTTCATAATTATGTCAAGTTGTCAGGGACAGGGTTAGATAAATTTGTGTAATTTACAGGATAAATCCTGCAGCGCAGTTACCACCAACTCTCAGCAGACGGTCCTTTCTGCACTCTGCGTGGCTGTTAGTGCCCCCTGGTGGTGAATTAGATGATTTTTACAGTGAAGCTGATTTAAAGATCACTTCATTTAATGGATCCTTTAAACACAAACGGCGCTGCTGCGCAGAGACGCTGTTTGTGCTGCTGTGCAGTTACAGGAGTGTTTAACCCTTTGTGTGCGTTCTTGACTCGTTTCAGAGGTCAGGGGGCTGAAAGCGATACAATCCTTTTGCGAGTCAGGCCCTCAGTGCAGCAGAGGATCATGGGATGTCTGAGGTCTGCAGGTGTATGTGAGACATTTTTGACCTGATGGTGGCGCTAACAGTCATACTTTGAAGTTAAAAGTCAAAGGGAAGGTGGTCCTTGAGGATTTTCAAAGTAAAATTATTAATTTTTTTAAAGTCGTCTGACTTTAAAATGGGCGAGTGACATTAAAAGAGAGAGATTTATTTAGACTCAAAGTGATGCTGACTTACTAACAGAAAACAGGAAGTTAAGTGTTGCCGGTGGCGTCGACTGACCTTCCTGTTAATGTTAACGATGTTCTGATCTAATTGGCTGATGGCAGACAGCCCCTCAGAGTGCTCTGATTGGCTTGTTCTGGCTCTTGTAGCCTCGGGGCCTGACAGCCAATCAGATTACAGCAGAGGTCCTGCTTACATACGTCAGGCTGTTACCACGGTAATGGTTCAGGGTCGAGCCGGTCATCACCAGGGTGAGGATTAGGAAGAGGAAGGTAACAGACTCTGAGATGCTACGTGTTTAAAACACAGTCGCAAATAAGTTAACAGTGTTTGGAAAAGTGGGAGGAGCTGGAGAGGAGCGAGGGTTCAGACCGTGACCTTAAGGAGCTGGACGATGTTCCCTAAAAATAAAACCTTCTACAAATGACAGACGCCCAAAAACAAGTTAAACTTTGATCTTCTCTGTGAACTGCCCCTCGGGGGTTAATAAAGTCACCTGACTTTCTCTCCAGGGGTCAAAGTTTAAGCTGTAAACTGGTTTCAGGGTCCAGCAGGATACTGGTGTATGGGAGACACAGTCAGACCTGCTGATGATCTAACGTTTGTTTCTGCAGCTCTCATTGGACGTTTTCAGTCGTCAGTGAGCACGGTCATGTTTTAAACCGTAACACCAGATCGTCACGTCCACAGACGTACGCACACTTTCATGTGTTTTTGATGAAGGTTAGCTAACGGCAGTCTCAGTCAGTGCTTTGGGTCGGTGATGATTTAGATCAACACAGTCTCTGATGTCAGAATGGGAGGAGTCTGATCTCAGGGGCCACCGACCGTCTGACGGCGTTCATCTCCTCCTCTTTGGGTTTCTTTCAAACTTTACATTCTGAAGAAGAAGAACCCGGGCTCGTCTCCTCGTCCGTTAGAGCGCCACATTCAGCAACAACGGCTTGACTTGAAAACATGAAAGTAGTTCAAAGACGCAGGTGGACACAGACACTGAGAAGTTCTCTGTGGCGTGGAGCGGAAGGGAGCCTTTCTTGTTCAAACAAACTGCTTCAGAAGAATTCACCTCAATGCAGGAAGTCTTTCTGCTCCAAACCTCCTGTGGGGGGGGTTGAGGGGGTGGGGGGGGGGTCACTGCTTGTGTTTCCTGTTCTGGGTGGATGAAGGTGATCTAAGGTTTTCTCTTTGTGCTCTAACAGACTTCACATGAACTCGTTTAGGCTAAAACAACATCAAAGCTAACGGCATGTTTAAATACGCAGGTGGCGATGTCATCGATATGTTGATATTCTTATCACATGTTTTGTTGCAGACTAGAAGCACATTAACCACAGCACCATGGACGCTGACCACAGCCACCACCATCATCACACTATGGCCCCGCCCACAACCAGCGGCCACGACCACGGAGGAGGAGGAGGAGAAGGAGAACATGAAGGACACGGAGGCATGGTGAGCTACATCACGCTAACGTGACATTAGCATCATGGAAGCTTAGAGTGCGTCCGAATGAGTCAAATGACCCCGAAGCATATATGCCGACCCACAATTCATTGCGGCCGAAACATTTAAAGTGAGTCGTGCATCCGTTCACATACATTAATGATGATGGGAAAGGGAAACAGATCATGTAAGAGCGTTTTTATCCAGATAAAGTTTCATTCACTTCAGAATACTTTGTGCAGTTGTTCATTTGTATAAAACATTCTGTATATTTTTCATAAATGTAATAATTAATATTTATTCTGATGTTGATTTCTGAGTGGACAGGAAGCTGATGGTTTCTCTTTTCTTTAAGCCTTTTATTTCACTTCGTCGTGGTAATCAGGATTATTTCACCGGTAAGAAGGCACAGGGGAAAGTTTTTTTAGATGCACTTTTAGTCGTCCATTTTCTGAACATTGTAGTTTCAACACGGCAGACCCACGTCATTAACCTCAGCCAGCCCGTCGCATTTAATGACGTGGCCTAGTGGAAATGTGGTCGGATTGTCAGAACAACACGATCGCCTTTCCCTAAGTCCTTTATGAATTCTCCTAACATCTTTCCTTAACCTCATGACGTTTTCCCCGGGGTTCTGGTGAAGTGGATAGTGAAAGGGGATAGGAGGGATGAACCCGTAATGTTTGACTGGCCGCTGGGTCTGTGATGTAGCCATCTGTCAGGAGGTTTCAGCCCCGCCCCCAGCCCCGCCACTTTGATCTAAGGTTAGGTATAGTCAATATTTCCAACATGGCGACCAGCATCGTTCTGCTTCAGAAACTCCGCCCCTGTTTTCTACACTGTACACTAACATACTCATGCAGCATGCTAACTTTTATTTTGTTTGTACACCCCCTGCTGACTGGCTAGTGAGCTCTCCATTGGACAGTCTGATAAAAGCAATGCATTGTGGGATGTTTCAGTATGACTAGTCAGCTCCTGTATCATGCTAACAGATTAAAGCTAAGCTAGCGTAGATCTGGTGATTTCTTGAATACACAGAATGAAGAACTACGACATCATAACAAACAACTTAACGTACGACACTCCGATTGACGACAAAGTGCTTAGCATGTTAGCATACAGAATTACAACGTCAGAAACAAAGGTTGAAAAACTATATTTCATATTTATCACGTCGTTGTTGTATTTATTCTGGTATTAAATGATGTCTTCGTTACATTCGTGCTAATAAAGCTAACTGAATTGAAATTGAGCTAGCATGCTAATGCTGTGCTTGTTGTTGCCTAGGTGATGACCTTCTACTTTGGCTACAACAACGTGGAGCTGCTGTTCACCGGGCTGCTCATCAACTCACCTGGAGGTCTCTAGCATCATTCTGATTATTGATTTTTAAACATTTATATTTCAGTTTGAACGTTTTTAGAATAACTTCCCCTCACCGCCTTCCTCTCTTCTAATCAGAGATGGTGGGTGCGTGTATCGGTGTCTTCCTATTGGCCGTCCTGTACGAGGGCCTAAAGATGGGCCGCGAGACGCTGCTCCGTCGCAGTCAGTCAACGTCCGCTACAACTCCATGCCGCTGCCCGGGGCTGATGGGACAGTGCTAATGGAGACGCACAAGACCGTAGGGTAGTCGCTAACGCTAACATCACTGCAAAGGGCTGTCAGAAAATTGAACTTTGATATGATTCTAGAAAAGTCAAACATTAATGATACCTGTTTGATACCATGGCAACAAGAAGAGTGTTAGACACTCGGTGTGGGATAATGAGGTCAACTGACGGGAGGAGCTTAAGAAGAGCGAGAGTGAAACTTCTGACTGAAGAAAAGATTCTAAGAATTGTACAGTTTGAAAACATGCGGTGTCACAGGAAGTGGGCAGAGCTTCTGATGGTGATGCTGAAGTGTTCAAAATGATAATATTTTAATATTAGAGATTAAAAATTAAATGTTTATTAAAAAAATCTAAATATATTCCACATAAAATAGAATAATTAATATAATGCATCATAATTCCATTGAATGATTATTATAATATATTCATGTGTTCGCTGTCAGCTCGCTGACTGACAGTCAGTGTGTGGAGGGGGTGGAGCTTCCGGTTGAACATAAGTCCCACCTCTCAAGACGCTCTCCCAGGTAACAGTGGAGTTCAGCTTGTGGTTCTGGTTCCGTGTGAGACGCTCCGGTCAGACCGTTCAGGAGCCAATCAGAGAACTCGTGAATAATGAATGAGCATCAGAAGGTTCTGATTGGAGCATCTATTCATACACACTGGTTTCCAGAAATGTTGGGACGTTTTGTAAATAAAACCAGAAAGTGAAGATTATTTAATAACATGTACATGTCTATTAATTAAAGAGAGGGAGAAGCTCACGGAGAGGCGGAGTCTGTCTGAAATAAAGAGAGGGAGAAGCTCACGGAGAGGCGGAGTCTGTCTGAAATAAAGAGGGGGAGGAGCTCACAGAGAGGCGAAGTCTGTCTGAAATAAAGAGGGGGAGGAGCTCACAGAGAGGCGAAGTCTGTCTGAAATAAAGAGGGGGAGGAGCTCACAGAGAGGCGGAGTCTGTCTGAAGTAAAGAGGGGGAGGAGCTCACAGAGACACTTTCTGTCTTTACATTTTTCACAGCGTCCCAACTTTTCTGATCCGATGTTCTTTTGAAGTCTGACTCTTAAAGATGGAGGACGTGTTTATCATCCTGTTTTCATGAACTTCTGTTAAAGTTTTTATAAACAGAAAATCTAAAAGCTGAATGACATTTTAACATTTAATGTTTCAATAATTTATTTAAGTTAAAATGTTGACATTTTCTGTTTCCTAAAAACCAAAACCTGAAGGTAACTTTGTATGAAGCTGTTTCGGCCTCCAGGTGGTGCTCTTCTGTCTGTGTTGAGGGGCTAACATGCTAAAACTGAAGCTGAGGCTAATACTGACATCAAACATAAATGTGGATATGGGAAATATTTGGAGCCACAGGTGAACAGTACTGCAAATGCTAACATGTCAAATGTTTTACAATGATATGTAAGCTGGGGGAAATATGCTAAGCTAGCAGTTTTTTAAGGTGATGGGATATCAAAATGAAAGTCCATGCAGTAATTCACAAGGCTAATGAAGATAACAGCTGATAGCATGTAGAAATGCTCAAAGGGATACTTCACCAGTTGAAACATGAATCTGTATTGACTTTTTGGCTCATGTGGATGAAAGACACCAACTCCTAGAATGCTCAGCACCGCAGGCCACTCCTACTGAGGTCCTCTATTTACAGACATATTTACTTCAACACATAAGGCCGTTTCCTCAACTGATTCTGAGATTTCTTGCTGAAGGAATTGGCATCTTGGAAGTTCCAAACAGACTCAATGTCTGTGTCCATAGATAGTCCGCCCCAGTCCGGGATGCACAACCATTCAAAAATACTACCAGGTTTCTAATGATACAAAGCTTAATGCAAATGGGTGAAGTATCCCTTTGAAAAAACATTTATTTGAATTAACATTTAGAATATTGAGTTAGCTATGCTAAAGTTAAAATAATTTGCAGTGCTTTCATGCTTACATCATGACAGAAGAGTTAAAATTACAATGCTAACGGTAATGCTAACCACCTCCTCTTGTTTCACAGACAGCGGATGTTAAGCCCCGCCCACTTCCTGCAGACCTTGTTACACATTGTTCAGGTGGTCGTCAGCTACTTCCTGATGCTCGTCTTTATGACCTACAACGCCTACCTCTGCATCGCCGTGGCAGCCGGCGCTGGCATGGGCTACTTCCTGTTCAGCTGGAGAAAGGCAGTGGTCGTCGACATCACCGAGCACTGCCATTAGCAGCTGGCTGCTGCTAGCTAGCATCTGTTCGTAAGGTTTAATTTCTGCTGATTACAATCGATAAACGCTAACTAAAAACTTTCACTGTAGGTTAGCCTGCTAGCCAACCTGGGACTACAAACCCCAGAGTGTTAGCGCATAAAAGAAAACTCTAAACTACAAATGTAACTCGGTAACCATGGTAACACCCTGCTGTAGGTTTACACACTAACGTATGTAGTTGCTGATTATAATATCAGCATTAAGCAGGAAACACTGACGTTGTATATTTTCAATTAATATCAAGTTTTTTTTTCTAAACTCCTGCTGGTGAGCCAGCCGACCAATCACAGCTCAGATCACCTCCAAAATTTCTGATTGGCTAAAATCACATCTAACTATTTTTTATTTTAGTGCCAACATCAGCACAGGTAGCGTTTATACTCGTTAACTTAGTTAGCGTCTCATCATGAGAACATAAGTAAACATTGATCTAGAAGATAATTTATTAGAAAATGTTTTACTAAAGTTTTTTATTGAAATAAAATAATTAAAATGTTTTTAATGTTTTCAGTTTCTACATTTTCCTTTTAAAAAACAACAACAATTATTTCATCTTTTTTTAATATCCTTCTTGTCCGGGAGCCGGCCAATCAGGGCTCAGATGATTGTTCCCTTCTTCAATGTAAACGTCTTTTAAACTGTAAAACAAATCGCCATGAGATCAACGCCATTCATGAAAAACATGTTAAACAGCGAATCCTCTGGGCCACTGTCGGCCTTAACAAGACACCTGCTGCCTTAACGAGCCGACGCCCTGCTGCCTTAACGAACCAACCTATTAAGGACTGGCGGCCATGTTTGATCTGAAGAATTGATGGAGGACAGAAGTCACAGGAGAGTAAAGTCATCATGATACCAGAATTTTTTACTCGCTCTCTCTCTCCCCCTCCCTTCTCTCTCTCTCCCCCTCCCTTCTCTCTCTCTCTCGCTCTCTCTCTCTCTCTGACAGTGTTGTCTGAGTACTTTTTGAAAGTCTGGATCATATCGTTTTAAGAAAAACGACGTACTGAAAAATATCCTCAAAGTAAATCGTAACAACAAATAGAACGTTGTTTGTTGGGAGAAAACAAAGTAAAAGTCGTTTGTTTCCAACATCGACCTCTTCTGACGTCTTTGTGAATTATTTTGACTTTTACCTTCCTGGTTCACACTGGGAGGTGGGTGGGGATTACTCACTGGACCAATCAGGTAGCAGGGACAGATGGTTTCTGGATTTTTACTCTGAAAACAAAACTCTCTTCTCTCTCTAAGTTTTGAATAAATTCCTTTAGAGGAGAGCGACCCCATGTGGACAGAAGTATAAGGACAGGTGTGTGCACACCTGTGCCGCTCTGTGTGATGTTATCGTCTCTGTGTCTGGTGTCTTTAAATGAAGTCCAGGTTTCTGATTCAAAGATGAAAACTGTGTGAAGGAAACTGTTTGTCTTTAAATGTAAGAACTGTCATAAATGCTGGAATTAAAAAACAAACTGAATAAAGTTTATGAATGAAGTCTCCGAGTCCTGCCTTTACAGATCATAATTATGTTATTTGTAATGCACATTACATTTCAAAGGGTTAATGTTTTTAAAGTTCATTTCATTTTTCCTGAAGTCTAAAAATCTGCTTCAAATGTAAATAAAAGAAACCAAACATCCACAAAGACTTGAGGGTTCATATTTATCCCCTCAGTTTGTGTCTTTGTTTTATTGTAATAATTATATTAATAATACATGATACTTAAATAGATCTTCTCTGAATACTCAAAGATGTTTAACAAAGAACATCTCTTGTTCTCACAAACATGACTCAAAGTCGTAACAGGAAGTCAAGCTAAATGTAAGCCTGTGCTGTAGATATTAATTATCAGACCTCTCCTCACCTGTAGGTGGCGGTAATGAGCGGCTCCTCGCCTGTAGGTGGCGGTAATGAGCGGCTCCTCACCTGTAGGTGGCGGTAATGAGCGGCTCCTCACCTGTAGGTGGCGGTATGCACCTTTAAGCTGTTTGCGATCCGCCAAAAGTCCCAGAGAAGAAGAAGCAGTTCCGGGTAGCAGGTGACAGGTTGATGTTTTGCTGTGGGTCAAATCAATCAGGGACGAGAATTCCTCCTTTTAATCATAAACACCGTTGATTTACCGGGAGGTGGATGCGTTCAGTTTGAGGATTCCTGATTCCCGTTACCGGAGCTCAGTCTCGGTCCTCCCGCTCTTTGTCGCGCACCGACCCTCTGATGGCCTCCAAGCGGCCGGACAGCTTCGACGGGCTCGGCTTCCGTGGCCGCGATGACCCGCTGTACGGAGCGGGCTACCCGGTGAGGAGCGCAGGAGGCCCCGCGGAGCTTCAGCACCACCACTGGGTCACCACGCCTCCGGACATCCCGGGGAGCCGCAACCTGCACCACGGAGAGCGGACACCTCAGTACGACGAGTCGCTGGGGGAGCCCGGAGCTCCGGGGGCTGCAGCGGGCTGGGACGGTCCTCAGCCAGGGGTACCTCCCGCAGGTAGTGGAGAGCTAACAGGCTAACAGGCTAACAGGCTAACAGGCTACGTTAACTCACATTAGTGTCATCATGAGTTAGCTCACAGGCTAACTGAGCAGCTAACAGGCTAACTGATTAATTAGAATAATTGTATCTTTCATAAATTAAACTTGTATACCTTTATAAAATCTAATTAAGAAAAACAGAACCTCTCTTTTAGGATAGGATAATACTTTACAGCAACGTTACAGCTGCACAGACAAGAAAGCTCAAAACACACATTAAACAGAATAGATAAGATAAATAAAAATAAAAACAGGGCGTATATATACAGTACAAAATGAATGATGAAGTTAACTGGGGGGAATTGAGAATTGAAACAGTATTTACAGAGAATGACAAGATAAAGTGACAAGTGATGATTAAAGTGACTTGGTATGATAAGTAATGTAAACAGCAGAGAAGAGAGACAGTGTTGTACCACAGTAATGCAGAGTGCAGTTATATAATATAATGTAGTAAAATATAATATAATATAGTGCAATATGAACAATATAGTGTAATATAATGAAATGTTATATAATATAGAGTAGTATTATAATATATAGAATGTACAGTATATATGTATATATATTGATGCTAAATAATAATAATAATACAGTATAATAATCCAATGTTAGTAAGAGATTGATTTTCAGCAAATAATAACCCTGTTCAGACCGCCGTTTTTACGCCCCCGTGACGTTTTTCCTTCAATGTCATGAAGGCGTTATGGAGTGACGAAGTGATCCCCCTCTATCCCGTCTTCAGATGGAGTAAGAGAGAAGAGATTGGATGAGCAGCGAGGGAGAACAGTGCCGTGTGTGTCTGACTGTGTGTGTATGTGGAGCTCCTGCTGTGACACCGATATCACACCGTCACAGACTCATGTTCAAAGACGTGATGACGGCTGAGCTTAGTTATGGCGCGAAAGTGTTGCATTGTGGGAGTCTGATACCAACAGTCATGAAACAAAGATCGGTATCGGTCCTGATTGTGCTTCTCTAATTTTAACGATGAGGGTTTAAACTTTGAATAATGACCTCGTCTCATTTCAGAGCAGCTGAATCGATTCGCAGGCTTTGGAATCGGACTCGTCAGGTGAGAGCAAAGTTTCAAATCTTAAGTTAGAAAATTCACATTTATTAACCTTTCATCATAAAACGAGCCTGACGTGCGTGTGTGTGTGTGTGTGTGTGTGTAGCCTGTTCACGGAGAACGTCCTTGCTCACCCCTGTATCGTCTTCCGCAGAACAGTGTCAGGTATGAGCTCACCTTTTTCCTTAACTGATTAAAAACTGCTGCTCTCTTCTGATTGGTTGTTTTCATACCAGGTGTTTTTAAATCTGACATTTTAATGATCGATAGAACTGAAAACACAGAAGCTTTGGAAACGTGAGATCTTCAGTTTTCTAAATATTGTGTTGCGTGGTAACAAACAGGTATCTATATTATGAGATTTTTATTAGAATCATATTAAAGTTTAAGATTCTGGTATGGAGACAGCCGTCCTCTCATTGGCTCTCAGTTTTATGTTCTGTTTATTAAGTTAATCATTTTTGTGTAAAACATGTTGCTTCGTGTTCCTCCTGCTGTTCTCTGATTGGCTGTTTGTCTCAGGTGAACTACCACGCCCGCTGTTACCACCTGACTCCGTTCAGCGCCGTCGCCGTCATGTACTCCATCACTAAAGCTCAGGTAGGAGTCACTGATAGCGGATTAGATTGACAAACCAGTTCATCATGACTGTTTGGATGAAATGAATCTTTCTGATCCCTAATTATGATCTCATTTGTTTACTGTTGTTTGGTTGTTGTTGTTGTTGTTTGTTTATTGTTTAGGGTCCGAAGTCTCTGTGGAAGGGATGGGCAGCACCTTCATTGTTCACGGATCTCACTGGGTGCTGAAGCATCATCAGCGAATTAACACCGTTACCACGGTAACTAAACAGCACTGTATTATAATTGCAGTATGACTGTAGTGTGAGTGTGGTGTGGCTGTGGTGTGAGTGTAGAGTGAGTAATATGAGTGTAGGTAGTGTGAGTGTGGTGTGACTGTATTTAGTGTAGTGTGACTGTAGTTAGTGTAGTGTGAGTGTGGTGTGACTGTAGTGTAGCCTAATTGTGTGTTTGTGATTACAGGGAGCTTCCTCACAGGTGGAGCTGGAAACAGCTGTCTGGACATTTACTGCTGAAAGGGTCAGTTCACTTCTTCTTCTACTGACTTATCTATTTAACTTTATTTAAAAGCAAACAGCAGGACTTGTTTATTCTCTGATTATATTTATTTTCTTTATCTCCCCCCCCTCTCTGTGTCTCTCACCCACAGGTTGACCGCTGTGGTGGCTCTTCCTTTTTACTGTGCCAGCCTGATCGAGACGGTCCAGGTGGATTATTGATGATTGATCAGAGTTTAATGTCTTTGTGTGACAGTCAGAATGATGTCATCGGGTACTGAGCGCTCGTGTCTTTGAGTTTCCTCTTCCTGTCTCCACAGAGCGAGATCGTGCGGGATGATGCGTCCTCTGGGCTGCTTGATTGTCTCCGTGAAGGTTTGACTCGTTTGTTTGCCGTTGGAGCTCCTCACAGCCGCCGTCTACTTCCTCTCAGCTCTCTGCTACTTCCTGCCGCGCTGCACGCCATCCTGCGTTACGCCATAGCTGCCTCTGTCCAGCGGGTGGCACTGTGGCTCCATCAGCGAGGACGGAAGCAGCGAGCAGACCCTTCCAACCCACTGGATGCATACTTCCCAGAGTTGGCGGCCGCATGGGCGGGGTCACTGGTGGCGGACATCATGCTGTTTCCTCTGGAGACAGCGCTGCACCGCCTCGGCCTGCAGGGAACGCGCACCATCATTGATGCCACAGACGGCGTGGTCGCTGTGGGAAGTGGTGGCAGCCCACTGGTGCTGCCTGTCAACACGCAGTACGATGGCTTCTCCGAGTGCCTCCATGCCATCCGCCGCAAGGAGGGCGTGGTCGGCTTTTACCGAGGCTTTGGCGCACTGGCGGCCCAGTACGCGTTGCACGGTGCGCTGCTCGCTGCTGCCAGGACGCTGCTGAGGCTGCTGCTGCTGGAAGGGAGGGGCTGCTAGAGACATTACCATGGAGACACAGCATCACAGATGGCAAGTTCCCACTCCAGATGCCATCACCATGACAACCAAACACCCTGTCAGGTTGTCAGCAACAACAAAAACATTTATTTATATAAACATGGAAAATATACAAAATAAAAGAAAAATGTTCAATAATCTCTCAAAAATATAAACAGACAGCTGGACCAGATCATGTGATTTTTACCCACACACACCATCACCATAGCAACCACTTAGTGATGCCATCAACCTCCCTGGAGTACCATAGCAACCAAAGAGTAGCCAATTTGTGCTGCCAAAGCAACCAGGAAGCGTTTAAACTCCACAGAACAAAGATACAGGTCATGTTTAGCCTAGCTTAGCATCAAGACTGAGAGAAGAAGGGAACCTGTTAGCCTAGCTTAGCATCAAGACTGAGAGAAGAATAGAACCTGTTAGCCTAGCTTAGCATCAAGACTGAGAGAAGAAGGGAACCTGTTAGTTTAGCTTCATTGAACACAAACTGTCTTTCTCTCGATAATACGCTAACTCTCAAAGTTTACGTCACTTCCTGATGTCACTTCCTGCCTGAAAAACAAAATGTTGTGGTGGTTGTGTGTCGCCATGGGGACGCAGTGTTACTTCCTGTTCCAGCATGATAGCATGGTCCTTATGATCCAGTCTTAAAATTCTGAAAGCTGATTGGTCAGCATCTCTTTGTGTAAATAATGCTGACACATCTGGAGACTCTATTTGTATAAAGCTGTAAAAACAAAGTATCAAAGAAATGTAGATGTAGAATAAATTATTGAAATCAGATAATTGAAGAACAAAATGAATCTCTCCTCATGTTTGTAAATTTATTCTGAATTAGAATCAGAAGAAAATAAAGTATTTTATTGTGAAGTTGAGTTTAAATCACTGCGTCTGCGCTCGTGTTTAGTTGTAAATGTCACACGTTGATACTGTGCTGTTAAATAAAATCTATGATTTAAATCTGTGTCAAGTTTCTGCTGCTTTAATTTACACTTACAAACAAACAAACATACATAAACAAAGATTATTATTTATTAATAAACTCAGGAATAATTAAATACTCTGATTTCATACAGAAATGATTTATGTATTATTAAATCTTAACTATGAGAATAAAAACGTTTAACTTAATTTAAAATGTATTTTTTTTATCTTAATTCCTTGTTTTTGTTTATGCATTATTCTATTTCTTTCTATTTAAACCGTCTGTGATTTTTATTTAATGTATTTTATTGTTTTATTGCAAAATCAGATTTAAATGTTATAATTATTTTATATAATATTCTCATGTCGTTATTTTTATCTTAAATACTGAAAACGTTAGTCAATAATATTTTATTATTATTTATCATTTTATATTTATACTACATTTTTATAATACATTTATTTATGTATTTATTTAGCCGTTTCCGGTTTTTGTTTTCAGCCAGAACTCATCAGCGGAACCTTCCTGTTTGTCGTTGTTTCCAGTCGGACTCTGTTTCTCGGCGCTCCTCCATGTGTTTTCTCCGCTGGTGTGTTTCTCTAGTGTGAGCGTTGTGTTTGTGTTCGGGGTTTTATCCGGTAAAGTCACGTTTTTAACGGACATGTCAGGTGGCGGGAGTCTCGCGGGCGGCGGGAGTTCTTTGTTCTCCGGGTTCCGGGTTCTGGGACTCTATTCGAACCACGTGCCGCACGCGCTCCGGTACCACAAGAAGCACCGGGAGTTTTACGTGGTGACGGCGGTCGGTAAATGTTTCCACACATACAATGTAAGAGTCTTCCCCGTTCTTTATACTCTCTGTTTGTCCTCTGACGGCCGCTGTACACCTTGTTATTATCACCTGATGACGTCATAGCAGGTATAGGTGCTGAGAGGTGTCATATATCACATATAATACTGTTTAATCACCTGAAACACACTTGTCAATGGATGAAGGGGTCCTTATTATTATTATTATTATTATCTAAGTACAATTTTTGGGCCTTACGGCCTTTATTAGACGGGACAGCTGAGGTTGGATTCGAACCCACGGCCGCTTAGCCTCTGTACAAGGGACGCCCGACATAACCGCTAGGACATCTGGCGCCCTGAAGGCTTCTTATTGTTGAAACTTTGACGTGATAGTGAACAAATAATATTAATACCTGTTCGCTTCCACGGCAACACAAAAAGAAGTGAAAGACGCCAAATATTGAGTAATCTATTGTTTTTAATAAATACATTTTGCAGACAAACGCACTCTGTTTAAACTGAACAAATATGTTTGTCTGAAACGTTGGACGTACAGATCATTCATTTAAAATCAAACTATAGAAACATTTATATTTAATTATTTAAAAACATGCATAAGTGCACCAATGATATTTATTCAAAGTGTTATTAAAGAAACATGAAACACTGAAGAGGCTGAATGTTCTATCTTTGTGTTTTTGTTGGGTTTAAATAAAGTTTCAGATTTTGAACACATTTAGACGTGTTGACCAATGACTGATCAGCATGTTGATCACCTGATTATTTTTGATGTTTCAGGTGAACAGGTTGGGGATCGTTTCCGTCAGTGAGTACCTTTAAACTTTTAAATATCTTTAAAGTGGTGATGACGCTGCTGAGAGTTCTGCTCTCTGATTGGCTGCTGGTTTATGATATCATGTGGTTGTCTAGGTAACAGCATATCGGACGACATCACCTGCGTTGCAGCAGATAGGATGTTGATGTTCGCCGCAGCTGGACGAGTTATCAGCGCCTTCGCCAGGAACAAAGAGGTGAAAAAACGTTATTATTTTATCCAATCGGCTTCAAAGATATGAAGCAGATGGGGCTCTATGGGGACTGACTCACTGCAGGAGACAGACTCTAGTGGACACTGGAGGAACTGCAGCTGTAAAGTTGAACATTTTAACATGGGGCTCTATGGGGACTGACTCACTGCAGGAGACAGCCTCTAGTGGACATGGGAGGAACTGCATCATTTGAATTTTCTGTTTTGACCCAGTTTGCTCTCTGTAAAGGTGGTGATGCGTTACCATGGACACAAACAGGAAGTACGTCTGCTGCTCCCTCTGGGTGATCAGCTGATCTCTGCTGACAGCGGTGGTGATGTCATCGTATGGGATGTCCAGGAAGGAGGTGAGGAGGCGTGGCTTCACTTACTCTTCCCTGTGTGTTTATTATTCCAGCGCTGATAACCCATCATGCCTTGCTTTCTCCCTCTCAGATGTCTACCTGAGGCTGCAGTTTGACCCCGCCTCCTTTAATGTGTCCGCCATGATGCACCCAAGCACCTACCTGAACAAGGTTCTGTTGGGGAGCTCCCAGGGTGCACTGCAGCTGTGGAACATCAAGACGAGGTTAGCATGTTAGCAGTGTGTTCCAGATTAAATGAAACATCATTGACTTTTAAACCTGACACTCTTTCTTGTCCTTCTTTGTGTTACAGTAAGTTGTTGTTCACGTTCCCGGGTTGGTCAGCAGGGGTCACTGTTCTGCAGCAGGTCAGTTATATTTCTCACACAGTCTGATGGATCATCTGTTCAGAGATGTTTGATTTACTTTCACATTTTAAAACTCCCAGAGTCCTGCTGTGGACGTGGTTGGTGTCGGCATGGCAACAGGTCGCATTGTCATTCACAACATTCGGTTGGACGAGACGCTGATGAGCTTCACTCAGGACTGGGGACCAATCAGCTCGCTTGCTTTCAGAACAGGTACAAGTGGCGGTCTCTCGCTCGTCCCCCCCACTGCTTCTCTCTCTCTCTCTCTCTTTATACATTCTTTATTCTCTCTCTCCCTCAGATGGTCCTCCCATCATGGCTTCTGGCAGCCCTCAGGGCCACATTGCATTCTGGGATCTGGAGCGCCGTCAGCTGGTCACTCAACAGAGACACGCCCACAGCACAGCCATTGCCGGTGCAACCTTCCTGCACGGGGAACCACTATTGGTCACCAACGGAGCAGACAACGCCATCAAGGTAAACAAACATTTTAAAAAACACAAATATAAACAAACTGTTAAGCTCCGCCTCTGTTAGAGATAATGCATTACGGTTTGTTTACAGGTGTGGATATTTGACCAGGAGGGGGGTGGAGCCAGGTTACTACGGAGTCGCCAGGGCCACAGTGCTCCGCCCACCACTATCTGTCACCATGGCAACGATGGAAAAAACCTCCTGAGTGCTGGTAAATTAAGATGTAACAATGTTTTTTAGTTGTGCTTAGCTTCAGACTCTGAGCGGTTTAAAGAGTTCATCTTTCATTTTCTTCTTTTGTGAAAGCAGATTGTAGACATCGTGTTGTTTGTGCCCCCTGCAGGTCAGGACGGGACGCTGCAGTCTTTCTCCACCGTCCACGAGCGTTTCAACAAGAACCTCGGTCACGGTCAGTTCTCCTCCCGACCAAAAGGCTGTGATTGGTCAGAGAGGAATGTGGTATCTATGGCAACAGCTAATCATCGTTCCTTACGTGTGTTTGTGTGTCTAGGTTCCATCAACAAGAAAAAGGAGCAGAAGAAGAAGAAGGGTCTGTCGTACGAGGAGTTGCGTCTTCCTGCGATCACAGCGTTCTCCTCTGGTGGGTGCTTTCTCACACACACACACACACACACACACACACACACACACACACACACACACACACACACACACACACACACACACACACACACACACACACACACACACACACACACACACTCACAAGCTCAGAGCAACAACATCAGCTGATGATTGACAGCTGATGTTCTCTGTTGATTGACAGCTGCTGCTCGTCAGTCAGACTGGGACGGCATTGTCTCCTGTCATCGTGGTCGCCTAGCAACCACCACATGGAACTATCAGCGGTGCACCATGGGAGCTTATCATCTTCAGCCGCCCGACACTCCCAGGAATGCCATCGCTACGGTAACTACATCATCCCTGTGTCTCTGAGCCCTTCCCCCACATTCCCTGATGGTCACATGATTTCCTGTTTCTGTTCCTAGGCTGTCAGCATCACTTCCTGTGGAAACTTTGCTGTGATTGGCTCATCGTGCGGCCGGGTTGACGTCTATAATCTGCAGTCTGGCATGCACCGTGGTTGCTATGGAGACAATGCCAAAGGTATGTTTACCCGTTTTCATCTGTGATTGGTCAGTTATGTGTATGTCCGTCATTGACCCCGCCCTCTCTGTTCCAGCTCACAGCGGGGTGGTGCGGGGCGTCGCCACAGATACCCTGAACCAGCTGACATTAACCTCAGGCTCTGATTGGCTGCTCAAATTCTGGCGCTTCAAGAGCAGGAAACAGGAAGAGCAGCTGAAGCTAAACGCTGCACCAGCTAGCATGCTGCTACACAGAGACAGGTAACTAACAGTTAGCATGTTAATACACATCGACAGTTAGCTTAGCATTACAAAAAGACGATTGCTAACTGTGTTTTTGTCTGTTTCATGCTAGCGGGATGTTAGCATTAGCACTGGATGACTTCACACTGCTGGTGGTTGATATAGAAACCAGACGGGTTGTCAGGAAGTTTTCAGGTCACCATGGAAACATCAACGATATGGTGGGTCAAAGAAAACTAACAGGGCTAATAACCTGCTAGTAATGATCTAAGCTTGCATGCTAATAACATCATTATTATTTTATTTATTTATTACATTTCCCTTCCTCAGACTTTCAGCCCTGATGGCCGCTGGCTAGTTACCGTGGCGATGGACTGCACCATTCGTACCTGGGACCTCCCCTCTGGATGGTGAGACGAACATGCATACACATTGTTTCTAGAATGTGTTTAAGATATATGAAATGTTTACATCTTCTTTTTAATGTTTTTACATATCTTTTATCAAACTTTTTTTTCTTCCTTCAGTCTCGTCGACTGTTTCCTGGTTGCCATGGCACCAGTGGGTGTGTCCTTGTCACCGACCGGAGACTTTCTGGCGACGGCTCATGTTGACAGTCTTGGCGTGTACCTCTGGTCTGAACCAATCAACTCACAGCATTTTATCTAAGCCAATAAGAGTCTTGGTATATGTAGTGATGTCATCACTGACTTGTGCCAATCACAGCCAATCACAGTGTAGCTCTCCTCCCTCAGGACCAATAAGAGTCTGTGTGGGCCTGTGGGGCTCCGACCCCTCCCAGCTGACTACCAACCAGCTGTTGAGACGTTGCCAGGAGTGATGGCTGATCAATCTGAACAGGAAGTGACATCAGAGGAGATGGATGATGCGTACCAGTCAGCTGAACAGTTGGGGGCGGAGCTTGTGACTCTGTCTCTGCTGCCAGAGTCTCGGTGGAAAAGTCTGCTTCACCTGGACATCATCAAGGTGAGACTCACCTGAGAGACAATGGCGTGCATGCGTGCGTGTACGTGCGTGAGTTTTAGACATAAAAAACTCTCTAAGAACTTGTTTGTTTGTTTGTTTGTTTGTAGAAGAGGAACAAACCTGTAGCGCCCCCTGCTGCTCCGCCTGCTGCTCCCTTCTTCCTGCCAACACTTCCTGGTCTCACACCTCAATTCTTGTCGCCAACAGCAACCGAACAGGAAGCTCAGGTAAAGACTTGCGATCAGCTGGACGCTTGATGATGATTGTTGTTTGTTTGTTTGTTGTTGTTGTTGTTGTTTACAGACTAACGCCTGGTTTTCAACTATGTGACTTGTGTCCGTAGATCTTTAAATATACAGATCATGCCTCCTAGTGTCCATCACAAGGAAGTGCATTTCTTTAAAGGGGCTATATGTAACTTTCAAAAATACTGTGTTAGTGATGCTGCATGGCCGTTAGGTGAACTGCACCAGTAACCTGTTGCTCGCTCTCCCTCGTACGTACACAAACAAGCATCATCATCAGCCGTGAAACACTGGATATTAACCGGCATAATGTTTACAGAGGAGGTAAGTGGTCATACACATGTGAAAGTCTGTGAAGGAGTCTGTCGGTCTGTATTCAGTCTCGGCTCTTCAGGCAGATAGAAGTGTGTGGAAGGCGGCCTCTGGCTGTAGTGGGAGTGTGTGATGAGTTTGTACTGTTAATCTCTGTAAGCGGAGCGGAGTGAGGAGGACGTTGAGACTGTGCATAAAATGTCTCTTCCTGGAGCTTTCGCGGAAAATATGACCCGGGGAAACTTTTTATACAGGCAACACAGATAGACAGTGAACATCTACTTTTTCACATCAGTTAACCGTTCGCTTATTAATGGGCGATAAAAAACGATTTATGTAAAAAGTTACATATAGCCCCTTTAAGGATGGATAAACCTGATAGACGCTACCTGAAGCCATGGGGGAGGAGCTAATTCTGTCACATTGAGTTTAACTGGATAAACGGGTTTATTAAATCACAAACTCACTTTAATCGACATCGGCAACTGAATCAAAGGAAGTAGCCTGTTAGCTCGTTAGCACACTATCACATGGTCTTGATGTACTTGACGCACAGTCAGCAGTGTTTCCCCTACCATTATTTTGGGGGGGTGGGGGCGCCCCGCCTCATCATGTTGATCATGTTTACGTTGTTGTTGACAGTCGAAGGTGCTGAGTTGGGGGGTGTTGCCTCAGAGGTCAGAGGTCATCTCTGCTCTGGCGTCGTCTCTACAGTCCGGCTCGTGTAAGTATAATTATTTAATGTTGATGAAGTTTCAAACATTTACGACATGAATTAATTGTTTGATATTTTAAAAAATTGTCTCTCTCTCTTTCTGTGCAGTCGATCGCCCGTTGAGTCTCCTGAAGGATTGTGGGCCGGCAGCGCTCTCTGTCGAGCTCACCTCTCTGACATCAGAAGGGGGCGGAGACAGCAGTCTCCTACTTGCCTTTATAAAAATGATTGACAGCATGTTGGTCACTGGGCGGGACTTTGACCTGGCTCATGCCTACCTGGCGCTCTTCCTGAAGGTTAGCCAATCAGAGCGCAGCAGAGTGACTTTAGATTCAAGCAGTAAGGGGCATTTTTGGTCTTCTATTGTGAAAATCTCCCCTAAGTTTCCTGTTTGTTTGTTTTTCAGCTCCATCTTCGCTCGCTGTCTCAGGACCCTGTTGCCATGGAAGCGTTACTCCGCGTCTCCTCCCGGCTGGAGGCAGGTTGGGCGGAGCTACAGGCATCCTTTGACCAATCACTGTGTCTGCTGTCGTACACCAAGAGTGCACTGCTGTGACACTGACACACACACACACACACACACACACACACACACACACACACACACTCACACTCTCACACTCTCTCAGTGTTTTGTATTAAAAGTTTTTGATTCTTTGAGTTTTTTTATTTTTTGTTTAAATAAATATTTTTATTGACTGATTAAAAAGGTTTAAGAGTTTTTTGTCATCTTGTTTTTAAAAACTCACACAGTGAGACATGCACACGCACACAGCGCTGTTCTCCCCCGCTGGCTCAGCTGATCCCGTCTCTCCTCTGTAACGCCTCTGAAGACAGGGGGGGGTCACTTCTCTCTCCATTAAAGGAGAAACGACACACCCGACTCTGTTATTGAGAGACGTGCTTCTCGCACACAATCAGGACCTGTGGACTTGTGTTAATGGCGAGGTGTCAGAGTGTGGGGGGGGGTTGCTACACAGGGACCACGTCAGGGCTGTTGGGGGTTTAGTGCCTTGCTCAGGGGCACCACGGCAGTCCAGCTACCTGAACAGGATTTAAATCGGAAAACCCTCTGGTGCCAACCCAAGTCCCTACAGACTGATCGCCTGCCGCGGCGTTGTGCAATCAATGTGAACGTGTAAAGGCGTGATGATGGCGTAGCTGCATTACGGCACTGGAGCGGGATCGCACTCTGAAAAGGGCTGTCCTTACAAAGTCAAGTTATAAAGTTTGAGCAGGTCTTTTTATTGATGTTAAACTGTTAATGTGATCGCCATCAACAGCTCACTGGTCAGGTTGCTTAGTTGCTCATTGCACAAACTAAGTTGCTTTCAACCTGAGAGTTTGCTCCTCACCTCTTTTCCACCACAGAGGTTTGCTTTTGTTTCTGTTAGAGTTGACACTCGGGGCCGGAAGTACTGTGCCTGTAGAGCTGAGTCAGCTGAACCAAACCGGAAGCAAAACAAACGGCAGTGCGCTTGCGCAACATCAGCCTGAGGTTTCGCAGCAGGGGGACAACCGAACCGACGAACTTATTTTAACTTTTTAAAGTTTATATTTATTTGTTTTATTTCATTTTCCCCGTTAACAGAGAGTAGACTGTGACGTCACGGTGTTTGCGTGAAACAGCACGAGGCGCAGCGGAGCGCGAGACCAGTAGCTGTTGGACCAACGCGGAAGTTCAGTAAGAAAAGTTCATCTGAGAAAATAAAGTTTGATGAATTGTTGCTCCACAGCGGGGAGACTCTCTGGCGGTTTTTAGTTCATAATAAAGAGGGCATTTTTAAAAATATTTTACATTTGTAGGTTATTTTATTTAACGCATCTGTTTTACTGTAGAGATGTTAGAATTGTATATTGTATAAGTGTTTTTGCTGAAACTTCTGTTTATTATTAATATTTATAATTTTATCTGCTGCAAACCAAATAGAAAAAAGGTGATGATGTAATAAACAGGTAAGGGTGTGGTAGACACCTGTGAGAGGCCTGAAACAAACCACACCTGAATGACAAACACAGGTAACATAAACATTAAATTCCACCAATACGTGTGTCAATCATCTATGCTAAGCTAATAATACTGACAGCATGGACATATTAACTTTCATCGCTCCTCTCAAGCCACGCCCACTTTAACAAATGTGTTCCCTCTCTATTGGTGAAAACAGACAGGTGTGAGAATGAGAGGACAGGTGCTGCTGTTTTTAGTACATAAAGTCTGAATATTATAACAACAACAACAAACAGCGCAGACACTACAAAGAAGAAGTGTGAATGTTTCTGTAATGAGTTTTATTTGAGCAAAACGTGGATGTGCAACACTCAATAAAAAGTTAAAGGTCACATTCTCCTCCTCTTCAATCAGTGTAAATAAGTCTCAGCTTCTCAAAACATGTGTGTGAAGTTTCTTGTTCTAAATCCACTCTGATCCTGTATTTGATCATGTCTATAAACCCCTCTATTTCAGCCCTGCTCAGAACAGGCTGTTTCTGTGTCTGTACCTTTAAATATGTAAATGAGCTGTGTCTGACCACGCCCCCTCTCTGGAAGGGCTTGGGTGTCTCTGGCTTTCTCGCTCCATGTCCTATCGTTTACGGTGAGAAGGCAGACTCAGAGGGCAGAACAAACACCTAGCTGTGGGAGTGTCACCCACCTGGGGGAGGGGCTACTGCCCTTTGTGATGTCATGTTGGTAAAATCTCCAAACGGCCTGTTTGAGCACACATTTTCTGAAAAGTGGAGCAGGCAAAAGATGGAGAGGATGGACTTTTCTCATCATTGGGGGGTTTGTAGACAGACTAGAGACATGTTAGAGTTAGAGGAACATAGAGAAGTGGATTTTACAGAATGTGTGACCAAATATGACTTTCAACGTGTTATCCTACATTACCCATAATGCACCTGGCAGTGTTCAAAGTGTTTCTGTGTTTCAGTGATGAAGAGGAGTCAGCTGCTGCCTGTGTTGGTGGGTGGAGTCTTCTGCGTGGCTGTGGTGTCACTATACCGCATGCTGGAGCTGATGCAGAGAGCGGAGCTAAAGCAGAGCAAGGTGAAACCTGCTGGACAGGTGGATGAGGTGAGTCTGTCATATCATCATCAGTGGACACATCCTGACATGAAATGTCAAATCTTCAACAAGTTATTTCAACTAATCAAAATCTTTGTGTGCAGGATTTGTCCCGCCTCCAGCTGAAGATTGACAAATTGGAGCGTCTCCTTAACGACAACAACCGCCTGGTTGCTACGTTACGTGACTCTCTACTCCTTCGCAAAGCATCATGGGATAAGGGAGGACAAGGGGGAGGGGTTAATGGATCTTCAAACTCTGTCCTCAGCCGAGCTGGCACGCTGCCTGGCTGCCGATTGGCCGAAAAGATGAAGGATGGAAAAAATGGCGTTCAGTTACTCGACGTGTACGACCTCCTCCCGTTCGATAACCCGGACGGCGGTGCCTGGAAACAGGGCTTTGATATTAGTTACCTTGACAACATGTGGGACGATCAGCCACTGGAGGTGTTTGTTGTTCCTCACTCACACAACGACCCAGGTGAGACTGATTATGTGACACACACACACACACACACACACACTTAAAATCAATCAATAATTTAAACCACTCACTCATTTTACCCCCAATTCAACATTATTTATAAAACCAAAAAAATCAGCAGGTAGACATCGTGATTGACAGTCAACCACACACACACACACAGACACAGACACAGTTTGCCATCAAATGTTTTTTCTGGCATGACCAGCTTCTAATGAAACATGTGTCTCTTTTGTGTGTGTGTGTGTGTGTGTGTGTATGTGTGTCTCTCTCTCTCTCTGTGTGTGTGTGTGTGTGTGTGTGTGTGTCTCTGTGTGTCTGTATGTGTGTGTCTGTGTGTGTGTGTGTGTGTGTGTGTCAGGCTGGTTGAAGACCTTTGACAGTTACTATGAGGATCAGACGAAACACATCTTAAACAACATGCTGATCAAACTGAGCGAGGACTCCAGGTGACATCACTCACTTTGCCCGAGCATTATGATTGGTCCTTTAAAATAACTTGAGCACGGCTGGAGGAGAGCAATAGACAAACTCCCACATGCTGTCAGGTGCACCAAACATCAACAACATTTGTGAAAGTGGGAGGTTTAATATAGAAATGTGGGGCGATGGTGGTGGAGTGGTGGAGTGGTGGAGTGGTTAGTGCGCGCGCCCTGTGTGCTCCAGGCGGGCATCCCAGGTTTGAATCCGACCTGTGGCTCCTTTCCCGCATGTCATTCCTCTCTCTCTCTTGATCAGGAGGAAGATGATTTGGGCAGAGATCAGTTATTTCTCTAAATGGTGGAGCGGGATCGACGAGCAGAAGAGAGACGCGGTCAGACGGTAAACAAACAAACAAACACATGTTTATGTTTATAAATATTAAATATACATTACATATTGTTTTCTTCTTCACTTGTCTCTCTCTGCTGCTCTGTGATTGGTCAGCCTCCTGGGGGCGGGGCAGTTGGAGCTGGTGACGGGCGGCTGGGTGATGGCGGACGAGGCAAATTCTCATTACTTCGCTCTGCTCGATCAGCTGATGGAGGGACACCAGTGGATGCAGCGACACCTCGGTGCGTGACTCCTCCTACATGCGCCACTTCCTGTTTCTTTCTGACATCATGGCACGCATCACTCCCTGTTCCTGTATGACAGCACCACTCTCACCTTTCTGTCCAGGCGTGCGTCCGAGCAGCGGCTGGGCCATCGATCCCTTTGGGCACTCCCCCTCCATGACCTACCTTCTGAAGGGGGCGGGGCTTCAGGATATGGTCATACAGCGTGTTCACTACGCTGTCAAGAAACACTTTGCCCAGCAACAGACGCTCGAGTTTCTATGGCGACAGAGTTGGGGTGAGTGTGGGCGAGCTAGAGTTCTGTCTATGACGGTCTGTTTCTACGGCCAGGCAGCGTTCACTCTCATCATCAAAGACAAGTGGAGACAGAATCTCTCTTCCTGCTTCACTGTTCCACATAGTGTGAGAGTTTATCTCTGTGGGGAGGAACCTCAGTGTGCATCACCGCTCTTAAATAGATTTACTGTTATCACACATGAAGACAAAGTTCACTCAGTGTTTCTCCGTTAGCGCACCTTAAGAATTGAACAAACTTCCACAGAGACGTTCTGATCAAATGTTTTATATTTTTAATGAAGAGTGAAATCATTACATTAAAATTAACAAGCTTAGACACAAAGACAAAACGCTGCTGATACAAAAACTCTGACTCCGCCCTCCTCCTGTGTGTTTCAGACTCCTCCCCTCGCAGTGACATCACATGTCACATGATGCCGTTCTACAGCTACGACGTGCCACATACGTGCGGTCCGAACCCGTCGTCTGTTGTCAGTTTGATTTCCATCGTCTGCCGGGGAGGCGTGTCAACTGTCCGTGGAAAATATCTCCACAGCCAATCACAGAGCAGAACATCAGGGAGAGGTAATCAGTGGGCGGGGCTTTGGTGAATATATTTAAAATTAATTAAAGTGAAACTCGTCTGAGCTCCATGGCTGTTTACACGGTTTAATGTGTTTGTCCTGACGCTCTGTGGTCACTTCTTGTCCAATCAGAGCGCTCCTCCTCCTCGATCAGTACCGTCAGAAGTCTCGACTCTTCAGGTCGCCGGTTCTCCTCGTTCCACTTGGTGACGACTTTCGATTCATGGAGGCGAGTGAGTGGGACGTTCAGTTCAACAACTACCAGAAACTGTTCGATTACTTTGATCAACATCCGGAGCTGCACGTCAAGGTGAACACCTGACACACCTGAGGGGGCGGGGCATGTGGGCAGGAAACTCCTGAGACACCTGAGGGGGCGGGCCTGAGGGAAGGAAATGTCTGAGACACTTGAGGGGGTGAGGCCTGCTGGTAGGAAACACCTGAGACTCCTGAAGGGGGGCAGGGGGGGGGGGGGGGGTCTGAGGGCAGGAGACACCTGAGGGGGGCGGGGCCTGAGGGCAGGGCACACCTGTGACATTGAGTGTTTGATTAAATGAAGACGACTGAGTGAGGCTGCTTCTCTCTGATTGGAGAAATTTCTTCTTCCCTGTCTAAATAAAAACTCATATTTCCTCTTGTTCTGTCTTTTTTCAGGCTCGTTTCGGGACGCTCTCTGATTACTTCCTGTCTCTTCATAAACGTCTGAGCACGGCGGGGACGACCCTGCCCACGGTGCAGGGCGACTTCTTCACGTACGCCGATCGAGACGACCATTACTGGAGTGGATACTTCACGTCCCGACCGTTCTACAAACGCCTTGACAGAACGCTGGAGGCCACGCTCAGGTAACACCTGTCACTCTCCTGTTCACACATGTTTGATCTTTATCTTTTATTTAATTCATTTTTATTTTCGTTTTTTCTGTTTTTAATCAATTTTTCTCAGAGCGACAGAAATCCTCTTCAGTCTCACGCTGGCTGAAATGCGTCGTTTCCGTGACGCCGGTCACCTGGTTGCTGATTTCCCGGCACGCGATCATTTCCAGCGTTTGACAGCCGGGAGGCGGAACCTGGGGTTGTTCCAGCATCACGACGCCATAACCGGCACCGCCCGTGACCCTGTTGTGGTCGACTACGGCAACAGGTAACAACCTGTTAGCATCCTAGCCTGTTAGCATGTTTTATTAGTTGGCTCAAGAAAATGTTTTATAAAAAGACTGTTGGGTAATTATATGTTAGCATGTTAGCTTTCAGCCTCAAGTCAGGGGCAGAATCATTCACATTAGCATGTAAGCTAACAGGTTTAGCAGAGAAATAAACAAGTAGAGCTTTCTGTTAGCATCTTAGCAGAGAGGTGTGACGCCAGAATGAATTAAAATTGAATAAATTTTTTTTAAATTATTAATTAATAAAAAATAGCTTTAAAATTGTTTCTAGCAGGAGGGGGGGTAAAATATTAGCGTGTGTTAGCATCAGTTCAGGTAAATAAAATGTTTAGAGGGTTTTATGGAGCTGTCATCATTATACAATCTAACTTTGAGGTGTTAGCATGTTAGCATTGTAGTGCCATAAATTCTTTATTGTCTTTAGCGTTAGCATTTTTTGTCTCATTTATCCCTTCATGCTCTCTGTTGAAGGACAGCATCACCACGGCAACGGTAACAGGTACCACCTCGTTAGCACTTAGCCTTAGCTTCCCATCATAACCATTTAGCATTAGCACCTAACATCCTTTTCCCCTCACTCCCTTTAGTCATGACATTTTTTACAGTGTAGATATGAAAACATTAAATCAAATTAAACTCTTAAATGAAAAAACTTTATTTTACAGACTGTTTCGCTCCATCCTGAACCTGAGACAGGTGCTGCGGAGCTCCGCCCACTGGCTCCTCCTATTGGACAAGAGCCAGTACAACCACGACCAATCGAAACCCTTCATGGAAATGGTGACCTCTGACCTCTGACCCCTACCTCTTTTTATAAAAAAAAAAAAAAAACACATTTCAAACACACCTGAGTCATAAATATAAAAATATGAACATAAACAATAATCAGTATAAATGTCTTTCAGGACGATGTGATGTCAGCGCAGGACGCTCTGCCTCAGAAGACAACGCTCACGCTCAGTGAAGAGCCTAGGTAAGAGGGGCGGGGCTTACAGAGAGGAGAGGGTCCGAGGGTGTTCAGAGTCGATCTGTCTGAACAATAACCTCCAGCAGGGAGAATGGCGTCTCTCTCGTGTCAACAGAGCGCCCCGCTCGCCTGTTTTCAGGACTATGTAACTTTGTCAGCGGGTCAACTTTCTGAAACACAGCAGCGTACAAAGAATCCGGACTGACACCTGACAGGTCGACCCTGAAACAGGTTAACCTTTGTTTTTCATCAGGTGATATCAGCTAATGCTAAGCTAAGTGACTGAGTCAGCTGCAGCCTCTCAGAGCTGTGATGATGGATTATTAATTATTGATGATGTCATTTCAGGTCGTTGGTCGTCTTTAACCCGACCGAGCAGCTCTGTACGTCTGTCATCAGCGTCGTCGTTGACTCTCCGGACGCAAATGTTGTTGACGCAGAAACAGGTCGACCAATGACTGCACAGATCTCTGCAGTGTGGGTGGAGCCAAGCAGAGTGTCCACAGAGGCTTTCCAGGTGATCATTGACTGTCCAATCAGAGCGCAGCTTCAGTGTCACAGCGGGCGTTCTGTTAAATCAAACGTCTTTTTTTATTTTCTCCTCCAGCTCGACTTTGTGGCTGAACTTCCTCCTCTGTCACTCGTCGTTTATCATGTGACCAAAGCCTCTGTTGGCTCCTCCCATCGGGTTCACTACACGGTCAGTCGTCATGGTAACCCACCAACATTCAAGTCTGAACACTTTCAGGTGTCCCACCTGAAGGCAGACGCCCCCCTGTCGCTTGGCAACAAGCATTTCCAAATATGGAGTTCCTCTGAGACCGGCCTCCTGCAGGTAAGAGTTTCAAAATAAAAGGCATTTACAAAAAATAGAAAATAGTTTCCTCCTCAACAGAATTATAAAAAAAAATAATGTAAAGAAAAATGAAAAGGATCGATTATCTTAATTTATTTAATCAAATAATATTTAAAGTTATGATTTAAATGACAAACTTTTAATTATGTGAAGACGTTTATTTTGTTGTTCTTATCAGTAGGGCTTTAATTTCATGATTTTCACCATTTAGTTTCAGTATTTATTAAATACATTTAATTATTGATTTTTTACAGTGAAACTGAAACGTTTTATATACTTTGTTTTATTTTGAAACGTAGAAGCTCCGCCTTCAGTCCGGTCCGGTCCGTCAGGTTCAGGTCAGCTTCCTGTGGTATGGGACCAGCTCAGCCAAGGATAAGAGCGGCGCCTATTTGTTCCTGCCAGGGGCGGAGGGTGCCCAGGTGAGACCAGAACCAGAACCAAGTCTTGACCAGATCAGTCATACCTGGACTAACCCCTCTCTCTCTATCTCTCTCTCTTTCTCTCCCTCTCTCTCTCCCTCCCTCTCTCTCTCCCTCTGTCTGTCTGTCTCTCTCTCTCTCTCTCTCTCTCTCTCTCTCTCTCTCTCTGTCTGTCTGTCTGTCTGTCTCTCTCTTTCTGTCTTTCTCGCTCTCTCTGTCTGTCTGTCTGTCTGTCTCTCTCTCTCTATCTCTGTCTGTCTGTCTCTCTCTCTCTCTCTCTCTCTGTCTGTCTGTCTCTCTCTCTCTCTCTGTCGGTCTCTCTCTCTCTCTCTCTCTCTCTCGCTCTCTCTCTCTGATTATCTCTTGTCTTGCAGCTCTACTCGTCCTCTGAACCCCCTCTGGTTCGGGTCTCCAGAGGTCCCGTCTTCTCTGACATCACTTCCTGTTTCAAACACTTCACACACAAAGTCCGAGTGTATCACCTGGAAGGTACCATGAGATCATACAGTCTGCCCTGTGTTCAGTCTGTCAGGCTCTGTGCAGTCTGCCCTGTGTTCAGTCTGCCCTGTGTTCAGTCTGTCAGGCTACAGTCAATTTTTGACATTTTACATATCTAAACTCGACACCGTTGATCACTTCAAATTAAAAGTCTCCTCTTTGTCTCTACCCCAGGGCATGCTGGAAGATCCCTGGAGATCTCCAACACGGTGGACATCAGGTCAGAGGTCAACCGTGAGCTCGTCATGCGGCTTGTCAGTGATGTCACCAATGGCAACCGTTTCTACACCGACCTCAACAGTTTCCAGGTTTGATTGCTGTCCAATGATGTCACAGAGTTTGATGATGTCACATGTTGACACTTCCAGAGTGATCATTAGTTAGTGAAGGTTCAACAGTCTTTTATTGATTAGTGGTCGTTGATCCTGTGGGCGGAGTCATGGCGGTCTAATCTGAAGCTGTTTATCACTGTTCATGTTGGTCAAATATTGTTTATTGATTGATCGCTGCAGATGCAGCAGCGGCGGACGCTGGCCAAGCTCCCCCTACAGGCAAACTTTTACCCGATGAGCTCGGCGGCGTTCATTCAGGACTCAATGTCTCGCTTGTCTCTGCTGTCAGCTCAGAGTCAGGCGGTCGCTGCTCTCAGACCAGGTGAGTCTTTGTTCACCTGAACGTCTGTTTATCACGTCACGTATTTATTAATTTAAATAAATACATCTTAGACTTTTAATTTGTACTCACAGCTGTTTCTTCAAATAACTGATCTACTCAGTTAAAGCTTTTCTTCAGTCAGTTTGTGGACCTCTGACCTCTGACCTGTGCAGGTGAGCTGGAGGTGGTGTTGGACCGCCGGCTGCAGCAGGACGATAACCGCGGCCTCAGTCAGGGCGTCACCGACAACAAGCTGACGGCCAGCCTGTATCAGCTGCTGCTAGAGGACAGAGGGGGCGGGGCTCAGGTGAGGGGGTGTGGCTTATGTTAGCTAATATCAGAAAAGAAGAAGAACAAAAGGTGATGTCAGAGACACTTCTTCTTTTGTTTTCTTTTTAACAGGAAGTGGGAGGAGCCTCAGTTGAGCACCTGTCCCTGCTCGCCCACCTGACCTCGCTTTCCCTGTGTCACCCTCCAATCACTATGGTTGCCCATAGCAACAGCCAGCTGCCCAAGCTCAGCCCCTTCCGGCCGCTCCGCTCGTCTCTGCCGTGTGACGTTCACCTGCTGAACCTGAGGACGCTGGAGGACGCACAGGTGAGGTCACACCTGGACACACCTGGATCCTTTCTTTGAAATACAGAATCAGATTTATAAACAAATAATTCAAAGGGGATTAAACAACAACAACAACAACAACAACAACAACAACAACAACAACAACAGCAACAACAGCTCTTTTCATTTGTTTGTGGTAAAAGGAAGCAGGAAGTCCGTCACAGGAAGTGGCCCTGCTCCTCCACAGGAAGGGCTTTGATTGTAGCTCCGCCCCCCCGTCGTCATTGCAGTGCACGTGGAGTGTGCACGAGGAGGTAAACACAAACACACAACTTTTTTTAAAAAAGCATCTTTTCAAATCATTTCCAAAATCATTTTAAAGGAGCACTTTGTAGATCTGGTGGTGAAATTTGAAAGTTGAAGAAGTAAAACAATTCTGTTTTATTTTCTAAACTAAATACTCAAACTTTACTCAAAGAATAAAATGTCTCCCTGAACATTGTTAGGAGATAAAAAGCGACCAGGAGAGAAACGCTTTCTCTGCTGAGGCCCACCAGAACGAAGCATTTTATCTTCAAACAGTTTCAGGGACCAAACGTTTTGTCTTTGCTCAACTCAAAAAAAAAAAGAAATTCTTTCTTTATTTTTAACTTTTAGCTTTAAAGCTAAAAGCTAAAGCTTTGTTTGTTTTATTTGTTTATTTGTTTGTTTATTATTTGTTTGTTTTCTTCGCTGCAGGTGAACTTCGACGATCTTTTCGCTCCTCTCCGGTTTCGTTCGGTCCGGCGCTCCGGTCTCACTCTGCTGAGAGAACAAGACGAGCCGGAATCTGCCCAGCAACAGCAGCTGCGACCAATGGAAATCAGCGCTTTCCGCGTTGAGATGGACTGAAAAACAAAAACAAAACAAAACTTTAATACTGAAAAAAAATTGTCCATTGAGTAAAAGAATCAACCAATCAGAGACAAGCGACAGAAAATAAACAAAATGAGGGAAGGTCGTGGAAACCCGCTAAATTAATTCATTTATTCATTAAAAGTTCATTTAGAACGAGGACATGAGCTGAAGCATCAGACTTCCTGTGAGTCTGAACCCTTTTAAAATAAAATCACCTGCTACGAATAAAAACAAACAAAACAAAAACATAAACAAATGAAAACGACAGAAAACATGAAGAGGGAAAATATAAAGATTTTAAATTTAAAAAATGATATAAAATATAAACTGTTATTTTTTTATTAACCTGGTAAGGTCGTCAGGGTCAAAGGTCAACAAAACATCAAACAGCAGGTCAAAGTCAGAAACATTTTAAAATAAAACAGACACCTCACCTGTTGAACAAGGTGAGGTTTCCACGGCAACAATGAAGGGACCAAACAAGTCGTTACCACTGTGTGTGTGAGTGAGTGTTGCCATGGTGACTGTCAATCACGATGTCTACCTGCTGATTTTTTCTGTTTTATAAAGAATGTTGAATTGTGGGTAAAACGGGTGTGATTGATTTGAATTATTTATTGATTTTAAGTGTGTGTGTTTGTGTGTGTGTGTGTGTTTGTGTCTGTGTTTTATATGTTTTTACTGCAAAAAAAAGGAAACATACATTTTTGGCTGTTTTTTTTTTTTTTAAATCGAGAACATTCCTGTTTCTGTGCGAAAACATTTTTTTCATTCCTGAAATTGTAAAAAAATATCTTCAAATGTTTGAACTTGTGATTTAAAAATAAATTATTTTGAAACGTTGCAGTAGTCCAGTCTGGAGGTGATGAATGCGTGTGTTAGGGTCCGGGCAGCGGTCTCAAGGAGAGGGAGGGACGATGTGTTTGATATGTAAAGATGACACCAAGGTTACGGACGTGGTGGAGCCATCGATGGAGAGGGAGGACAAACAATGATGACGACTTCTGATTTGTTGTTGTGACTTCTCAGTTTTTATTTTGCTGATGCAGTCAAATGAGGACAGAGTGAGTGGCAGGAGTGATGGTGGAGCTGAGTGTCGTCAGCGAAGCGGTTAAACTGACGTCCATGGCGGCAGATTATGTGACCAAGGGGGGAGCATGTACATGATGAAGAGGAGGGGTCCGAGAACTGATCCTTGGGGAACAGCAGAAGGCAGCAGTTTGTTTATGCTTAGGAATTGATTTGAGCCAGGAGACAGCAGTTCCGGTGAAGTCGAAGGAACAGAAGGAACAGAAGGATGGATGGGTTGGTGGTGTGAAATGATCTGGAGGTTTCAGAGGAGAGGAGAAGGCGGGTTGTGATTTTCAGGAGAGCAGTTTCAGAGCTGTGGTGGAAAAAAAGAAAGGAGAAGGCTGGAGGTTGGAAAGACGGGATGGAGTCCAGGTTTTTCTTTTATTTGGGTGTCTGCAGTGTGAGGTAGAGTGGGGTGGAGCCAAGTGGAGAGGGCGGAGTTAGGCTGGGTGGGCAGGTTACGACAAGACTGGAGAGGATTGAGCCCGAGAGGTTAAATATTAAACAGCGGGTGAGCTAATCTCAGAGTCTGTATCTGAGAAACATGATAATAAAACATTACACTTCCTGCTCTCTGACTGTCAGCCTCACTCTGGTCTGCTCACCTGTGTGAGGTGTGTTGACCTGCTCCAGTCTGCTCACCTGTGTGAGGTGTGTTGACCCACTCCAGTCTGCTCACCTGTGTGAGGTGTGTTGACCTGCTCAGTGTGTTCACCTGTGTGAGGCTTCAGACAGGTAAAACAATCAGCTCTTCTTTACGTTCTGCAGCTGAGTCGACGAACAGTCTGTAAACATGTTTTGTGTTCTTCATCGTGGTCACTTTATACAAACGGTTAATTTAAGATAGAAATGTTTACATTTGAAGCTCCTCCCACACCTGTACGACTCAGGTGTCTCACCTCAATGAAGCTATTTTTAATTTATAGTCATGAATGTGAAGCAGACATTCATTTTATTAAACTCCTCCTGTCCACCATAACAAGTCAATTTTTTTTAAAAACTAATTTATCTTGTTCTGTTGTCATAGCAACGCTGGTCTCCTGTGATAACAAGTTCATTTATTAAAATCTTGAGATTTCAACTAAATTAACTTGTTATCACAAGAAGTCAGGTGCATGTGTGTCCTTCTGTTTAACACTGAACTGAAGTTGTTTGTTATAATGCTTACCTGCAGAGTGGGCGGAGCCTGGCTGATACACACCTGTGAGGACTTGCTGTCACCAACAGAGGACTATTGGACTTTATCAGGTAATAATCCATCAACCAATCACCATGAGACCTTCAGACTGCAGCTGAACTCTTATGTTTGCACACTGAGGTTCCTGCTTAAACATTAACCTTTACTCTCATGTGTCTCGTTTACTGAGACTGACTGATGGAAGGGACCATGACTTGAATTTATAGATATATAATTATTTTATTGCATCTTTTATTTTGAAGGGATCAGCTGACGTCCTGCAGGTTAACAATCTTTCAGACACACTCAGCGAGCTGAGACACGAGGATGTTCATGAGAAACTCGATGTGGAGACATTTTCATGACCTCCTGAAGTGTTCATGCTGAGTGTCATGTGTGAACACAAACATCTGAATGTTTCTCTCTTCACCGGGAGTTTCTCCTCCAGCCTCCTCGTATTTATTCTGCAGAAAGTCAGAGTGAGCTGATGTGAGAACGCAGCAGGATATAATCAGGAGAATTCACCTGGAGCGAGTGGGAGGGGGTGGTGACGTTTATTCCCTGTGATCGCTGCACGACCATAGACTGTCTGCACGCCACCTTTACCATCTCCGTGCTCTAATGAACCTGCTGCTGCATGTTTCCTGTTCTCCAGTATGTTCTTCTCCACTCTTTAGTTCACATTGAGATTCTCTTCAACTACATGTAGCATTGATAGAAAGACAAATATTCACATTATACAGTCGTATGGAGGACTCTGTTACTTCGTCTTACCTCAGGAGACCCCCCCCCGTCTGACAGGGAGAGTCTCTGCTGTGAGGTTCATGTGTGAACAACCAGGAAGTGTGTTTCTAGCAGCTGCCTGAGAGTCATGTGATCACCTGAGTGTTTGTGTCTCCACAGAGAGGGGAGGAGCCTGAGTCAGACTGAGAGAGGAACCTTCAGGAATATGGCGGCGACAGCAGGAAGGAGACGGAGACGGAGTAAAGAGCATAATCCTGACCTGTCTGAAGTGAAGAACACGTGTGCAGACGAGGAGGAGAGCAGAGAGCAGAGGATGAGACAGATTGTGGTGGAGTTAAAGGGGATCTCTGATGGAGTTAGAAAGATGCAGGAGAGAACAGATAAAGCCCGAGCTGTAGGAGCTCTTATAGGACGATCCGGCTTCGGACTGTTGATCCTGTCAGCTCTGCTCATCAGGGACTCCAGCTTCTTAGTAGCTATCGCACTAGCAGTCGTCACAGCAGGATCAGGAGCTGCAGCAGTGTTTGTTTCAAATGTCACTAAAACATTCAAAGAAAATACAAGTTTGAGAAAAGTAGAAGAGTTAGGGAGAGAACTGGTGAAGATTTCTGAATCACAAAAGTCCAACATGGAGGAGACAACGAGTCGGACGGAGCTGGACGCCTTTCACACCAGACTGTCCCGCGTGTCTGAAGGCAGAGCCGTGTCTGTGTTTGAGGCTTTAACTATAAGGAGGGCGATTCAAACACTGCTGATGCTCATGATGAACATCTGTAAAGTCACTGCAACACCCGAAGAAGACCAAACGTTCAGAGAGTCCATCGCGTGGTCAGCGGAGCAGAGTCAGAGGGTCATCGAGGAGTTCATCAGGATCAGACAGCAAGAACACACAGAGACTGATTCAACCTCTCCCAACTGAACTGAAACTGCACAAACTTCTGCATTTCAAAGTCACAACATGGATTTTAAGAAACCAGTTTTGTCAGCATCAATGTGTCATCTGGACAACCTTTGACCTCTCAGGGAAACGTGTATGTGTGTGTGTCTCTGTGTGTGTGTGTGTGTGTGTGTGTGTGTGTGTGTGTGTGTGTGTGTGTGTGTGTGTGTGTGCGCATGACTGGTTGTTTGACTCTTGCCATCATCTACCCAGCGACAACAGATGGAAATTAGCTAGTTAACCTAAGTCTGATACAAAGTAAACTGTCTCTGATTCAAATAAACAAATAAACTAAATAAACACGCGCACACACACACACACACACACACACACACTATATAATAATAATAATTTCACAATAAAGGGTTGTCTGATAAAACCTAATTTGACGTGACTTCTTGTGTGTTCTGTGAGCGAAGAAGAGATCTATTTAACAAACAAACACTTCCTGTTTGACTGGCGTCACAATAAAATGTTGGACTGCTCATGGTTGAAGATGAACTCACCTGTTGGTCACTTTAAGAACAGAGTCAGTGACGATGACTCACCTGTTCTCTGTGGTCGATGTGTTTCCAGAAAGAAGGAGGTTTTTCTCCTTCAGGGTGGGACTAGCTGAAGGTGGAGTTCAGGACTCTAAGGGTTACCTCCTGTGTCCAGAGGGGGGCAGGGATGAGACGCTGAGGACCGCAGCTGATGTTAAACACCACAGAAGAAGAAGGAAAGAGGAGGAGCAGGAAGTGACAGTCAGCATGTCAACAGACTTTCATCGAAATTTTCGTCGAGTTTCTTCAGCTGTTCAGAACCTGTAAACTTCTTCATGACTGCACAGGTGAGTCTCGTGCACAGAAGCTCAGCTGGGTCACGTGTCCATGTGTCGTCACCAGACTCCTCTGACAATCTGTCTCATTTAGCACAAACTAACCCGGGACACTCCGCACACCTGTAGTCAAAACACCTTTTCAAAGTGTGACACAGAGTGTGCAGATCAGTGATGTCATCGCCAAATCACAGTGACGTCATGATTAAATGTCACTGCGTTATTAAAGTAATTATTTTTATATTAATCACGATGTAAAGGCGGGAACAAGTCAAATATACTGAGTGACAGACGGAGTTCTGAATTATGATAAACCATCAGAGTGACGTCATCAGACATGTTGCGTGTGCGTGTGTGTGTGTTTTCAGGTGTGTGTGTTGTACTTCGCTAAGAGCGTGGAGCTGACTGGAGTCAAAGAGGAGCAGGCCGTTGCCGTGACGACACCAATCAGCAGCCGGGACCTTTGGGGACTGTTGGTGCAGCGACACCCGAGGTCAAGTTCACTGATTCAAAACAATTTACCAATAATGTGAAGGAGCGCTGTGTGTGTGCATGTCTGACTGTGTGTGTATGTGGAGCTCCAGCTGTGACGTGCTTCCATAACGATGTAACACAATGTGACCTCACAGACTGGGACGCCAATATTCATATATTCAATATATCTGTTTGTGTGTGTGTGTGTGTGTGTGTCTATTTGTGTGTTTTGTTATGTATGAATGTGTGTGTGCATGTGCGTGTGTGTGTGTGTAGACTCTCTCTCCTGCAGGATCAGGTGGTCCTGGCAGTACGTCAGCAGTACGTTGCCATCGGCGACCAGTCGGTGACTCTTGGGGACGGAGACGAAGTTGCCGTGGTTCCGCCGCTCAGCGGAGGATAAGCAGACCTGACGCTCACCTGGTGGACAGGTGAGATACTGACACAGATTCAATCAGTGACACGTGAGAGCCTATCAGAGCGCTGCAAACATCCTTCAGGCCAGGATGAAAACCCGATGGACTCTCTGTGTCATGTTTCCTGTCAGATGGACCAATCAGAGGAGAGGAAGGACGTCTTCAAGCTGAGCCGTGATTGGCTGTCTGTACAGGAAGTGGTAGATGCCGTCAACAGCCCGACGTGTGGAGCTGTGTCTCTTTTCATCGGTTCAAACTTTATTTAAATCAAAAATTTTATTTACAAACATGTATCAAAACAAAAAATCTTTACTTAAACCTGTGTGTGTGTGTGTGTGTGTGCGTGCGTGCGTGCGTGTCTGTGTCTGTGTCTGTGTGTAGGTACAACCCGTGAGGATCAGGTGGATGGCAGGAAGGTGATTGGTCTGGAGTACGAGGCGTACGAGCTCATGGCCCAATCAGAGTTCAGGAAGCTTTGTGGTGACCTCCGGGCGCGCTGGCCAAGCGTGACACACGTCTGCATCCATCACCGGCTGGGGTGAGAACGCACGACCCCTTCATGACTCCTCCTCTCTTACACTTTGTGACCCCTCCCCCTTAACTCCCCGTGCTCCTCCCTCAGGTGGGTGGAGGTGGGCCAGGCGAGTGTTGTCATGGCGATCTCATCTCCTCATCGCCATGATGGACAGCAGGCGATTCAGCACGCCGTCACCCAGCTGAAGGCGACCCTCCCCGTCTGGAAGAAGGTGCTGATCACTGATTGGTTGTTTAGGAACGGTGTTGTCATTACAACCTTTACCTGACCTCATGATCAGATTGATTATTTTTACACATTGTCAATGATCTTCTGATGGTGTTACCATGGTGACGGTTTGATCCTGATGACAATTACTCATTGTTGATCTTGTGTGGAGGTGTATGTGTGATCACTGATGAATCATTCTGATTGGTTGTTGGTCATGTGACTGTGATTGACAGGAGGTGTATGACACCAAGGACTCGAGCTGGAAGCAGAACGTGGAGTGTCCGTGGTCGTCTCACAGTCAACTTGCTGCGTTGTCAGAGAGAGAGATGTCAAACTGAAGCTTTCAATAAAAGAAGTGATTGTTAAAGTTTGATGTGTTTGTGTTAACGTCTCAGAGACCATCCTCATGTTCCTCTTTCACTTCTCTCTGTGTCTGACGTGGTGTTTGGCGTTTGGGACACGCTGTTTGGTTCAGAGTGAGACCTCGTCTGTGTTAAAGACCTGAGCTCGCATTCACCAAGCCTCCTAAAAACCACAAGTCACTCTGAGTGATAAAAGTCTAATAAAACTCTTAAAATCAGGACATTTTCTAAAAGTTTCCCCTCAAAATTCAGACTAGATCTTTGTTAAGATGAATATTATTCTCAAAAAGTCTCAGCCCTTCAGAAAGGAGGAGTGAGAGAGTGAGGAGGAGGAGTGAGAGAGTGAGGGGGAGGAGAGAGGAGGAGTAAGGAGAGTGAGGGGGAGGATGAGAGAGGAGAGAGTGAGGCAGAGAGGAGGAGTGAGGAGGAGAGTGGATGAGTGGGGAGGAGTGAGGAGGAGTGATGAGGAGAGAGTGGGGAGGAGAAAGGAGGAGTCAGGAGAGAGTGAGGAGGATTTTGGAGAGAGTGAGGAGGAGATTGGAGCGAGTGAGGAGGAGGAGAGAATGGGAGAGTTGAGAGGAGTAGAGAGGATGAGTGCCAGTTCTAGTTGTTGTAGTTTACTGCCCTCCTGGCCCATATTCTGAGTTTCTATCTGAATTTGCAGAATTTTTATCAGATTTAGTCCTCAGCAGTGATAGAATAATTGTTGTAGGTGACTTCAATATCCATGTGGATGTTGATAATGATAGCCTTAGCACAGCTTTCATGTTTCATGTTTCATTCAGCTTTCTTGATCTTGTTTTAGCTTATGGCATTGAAATCCATAACCTTACAGTTTTCCTAGAAAATCCTGTTCTATCAGACCATTTCGACTTTGTCCTGCCAGAATTATCTCTGCTTGGAAGAGGTGTGCTCTCTAGAAGTTTGTCTGATAGTGCTGTGGCTAGATTTAAGGAAGCTATTTCAGCTGCTTTTGATTCAGTACTGTGTTTCAACCCAGTTGGAAACTCTTATGATAGCTTTAGTCCCTCTCAGCTAGATCAGTTTGTTGATAGTGCAGTGGATTCGCTGAGAGTTACTCTTGATTCGATTGCTCCCCTAGAACGGAGGGTTGTCAAGCGGCGGAGAGTGGCTCCATGGTTCAACTCAGAAACCCTTATTCTAAAACAATCGTCGCGGAATTTTGAAAGAATATGGCGCTCGACCAAAACGGTAGAATCTTGTTTATTCTGGCAGGATAGTCATAGAAGATATATGAAGGCTCTACGTCACGCTCGAGCTGCCTACTACTCCTCTCTAATCGAGGAAAACAAAGGCAATCCTAGATACCTTTTCAGCACTGTAGCCAGGCTGACAGAGAGTCATAGCTCCATTGAGCCTTGTATTCCTTTAGCCCTCAGCAGTAATGATTTCCTGAGCTTTTTCAACAACAAAATTCTAGACACCAGAGACAAAATTGGTAACCTCCTGCCCTTACCTGGTGCAGATACCTCTGATATGACAGAAACAGTTCCAGGACCTGATATTAGTCTCGACTGTTTTTCTCCAATCGACCTTTCAGAGCTATGTTCCATTTTTTCTGCATCGAAACCGTCAACCTGTCTTTTGGACCCAATCCCAACCAAGCTGTTTAAGGAAGTCTTTCCCTTAGTTAGCAACTCTATATTAGATATGATCAATTCATCTTTACTGGCAGGCTATGTACCACAGGCATTTAAAGTAGCGGTAATCAAACCTCTACTTAAAAAGCCTACTCTAGATTCAGGAACTCTAGCTAACTATAGGCCTATATCCAACCTTCCTTTTATCTCAAAGATCCTGGAGAAGGTGGTAGCTAATCAGCTGTGTGACTTTCTCCATGACAACAGTTTATTTGAGGAGTTTCAGTCAGGATTTAGAGTCCACCATAGCACTGAGACTGCACTAGTTAAAGTTACAAACGATCTACTTCTAGCTTCAGACAGGGGACTTCTCTCTGTGCTCGTCTTGTTAGATCTTCGTGCTGCTTTTGACACCATTGACCATCAGATCCTATTATACAGACTAGAACATTTACTCTGAATTACAGGGACTGCTTTAAGTTGGTTTGAATCCTACTTATCAGACCGATCTCAGTTTGTACATGTTAATGATAAGTCCTCTATGCACACTAAAGTTTGCCATGGAGTCCCACAAGGTTCAGTGCTTGGACCAATTCTCTTTACATTATATATGCTTCCTCTGGGAAATATTGTGAGGAAACACTCCACACAGTTTCACTGTTATGCAGATGATACTCAGCTTTATGTATCAATGAAGCCCGATGGCACAAGTCAGTTATGTCAGCTAGAAACGTGCCTTAAGGACGTTAGGACCTGGATAACCAGAAATGTTTTGCTACTTAACTCAGACAAGACTGAAGTTATTGTGCTAGGTCCTAAAAACCTCAGAGAGACTTTTTTCTAGTGATTTGACTGTCCTTAGTGACATCAGCCTGGCATCTAGCACCACTGTTAGGAATCTAGGAGTTCTATTTGATCAAGATATGTCTTTTAGCTCTCACATCAGTCAAGTTTCAAGAACAGCCTATTTTCACCTTTGTAATATATCCAAGATCAGGAATATCCTGTCGCAAAATGATGCAGAAAAACTAGTTCATGCATTTGTTACCTCCAGATTGGATTATTGTAACTCTCTTTTGTCAGGGTGCTCTGGCAAGTCTCTAAAGACTCTTCAACTGGTCCAGAACGCTGCAGCTCGTGTACTGACCAGAACTAGGAAAAGGGACCACATTACTCCTGTCTTGGCTTCTCTGCACTGGCTCCCTATACAGTCTAGAATAGAATTCAAGATCCTTCTTCTCACTTACAAAGCTCTAAATGGCTAGGCACCATCTTATCTTAAGGAGCTACTAGTGCCGCACTGTCCCTCGAGAACATTACCGTCCCAGAATGAAGGCCTGCTAGTGGTACCTACAGTCTCTAAGTGTACTATGGGGGGTAAAGCCTTCAGTTATCGGGCTCCTCTCCTCTGGAACCGCCTTCCAGCCGGGGTCCAGGAGGCAGACAGTCTGTATTTTTAAGAATAGACTTAAAACTTTCCTTTTTGATAAATCTTATAGTTAGTGCTGGTGTAGACCAGCTCTTAGTTATGCTGCTATAGGCTTAGACTACCGGGGGAACTGGCACCTTGAGCTCCTCTCTTTTTCTCTCTCTGTGCATATACAGTACATCATATTACTGCATGTATCTATCTGTAAATCTCAGTCACTAACCATCTACTTTCCTGGGAGCTCTTGAGATCTCTTAGGCTCCTCAAGATCGTTGGTTGACGGCCTGCCAGAACAACCCCCACCCCACCCCTACCCCCTCCCCACCAGATCGTTGGTTGACGGCCTGCCAGACATACAGTACATAAAGAAAAGTACAAATGAAAGACAGTAATATACAGTAAAATAAAATAAACAAATAAAGGCACATTTAAATAGTGAAATCATTATTTAAATAGAGGGGGAAAGGTTTTGTAATAATGCAGACATTTGTTATATTTTTTGTTAACTAAAAGTAGTGATTTCAGTCAGGACTTTAAATTAAGATTAAATTAGTTCACGCTCGTTTGTTTTGATTTGGAGGCGCACGTGAAGTGATGATTTACGTTTAATTTTGCACTGCACTGTGGGTAGTAAAATACAATTCATTTCCTGAAAGCACGCATCCGATCCATACTGCATGAAACCCGGAAGTTAGTATCCATACTGAAATGTTCAGTATACTGAGGTGGACCCAAAAAATGCATACTGAATGACCACAAAAGTTCAGTATACTGAAACTCCTACTGAAAAGTACGTACTGCCTACTGAACTGCGACTATTCGGAAAAGGTCAGTGATTTAACCCCATAGGAACACGTCACGTTAATGATGGTCTAAAAACAGGAAGTTCAAAAGTTCTACTTTATTGAGCAGCATTGAAACATAAAAAGTCGTTAGATCCCTGACAGCAGAACATAAAACAATCAAACATGGAAGGTAACGCTAACTCACAGTTTACACATGTACCGAGCACAAACACGACCTTGGACTCGGCGTGCTAAAAGAACTCAGAGAGGGCGAGCACGATGGTGAAGAAGAACATGACGACACTCAAACCTCGTCTCTCTCTGAAACACGAACCTGCAGCACGCCACCAGGAGGAGGCGGAGCTAAAAAACCACGACCAGTCCATCCTCAGAAAACCGTTCAGCACACATCAAAGTGATCGGACTCTTCTACCTGAGGACCAACGGGTTCTGGTCTGGTTCTGGACCGTCAGTCGGACTACAGGACGCGTGGAGATCCAACATTTACAATATAAAAACAAAAAGACGATAAATCTTTTTAAACTTCATAAAGAAATGTTTCTGTTCATGATCCATCAGAAACTCAAATTTAAAAGAAGACTTTCAAAACAGTGAACCAAATTGCCACCTCTGTTGCTAACGTTGCTAAACGTTAGCAGGTGCAGCAGAATGACCTCAAACATTCGTCTCACATCACGTGTAAAACAGCTCAGTAGTACGGGCCGCTGTTCTCGTAGCCGGCGTAACTCGGCCAATCAGGGAAGATCCCGTGTGAGCATGTGGGGCTACCGTAACGGTCGAAGTGAATCCCAAAGTTAAAGGAGTCTGTGCGGTGGCTGCGAGCGTCCTGGTACTTCCTCTTCATCGACGACCAAACGATCCGGTAGTTGTTGCCATGGTTACTGTCCCAGTACTCGGCCCCGCCCACCTGGTAACAGACGGCGAACTCAACGTGCTCCAGCGGTCCGAGCAGGCTGGGCAGGGACGCGGTGAAGGAGAAGGTGTCGCTGTAGGAAGTAGAGTACGTGTTCTTCACATACACACAGTCCACGTCAGCGTGGCTCCTCCAGGTGTCAAAGGTCATACGCAGCTTCACGCTCTTCTCAAAGTTCACGTTCTTCACCTTCACGGTTCCTGCTAACGCCCTCTCCTTCAGCACGCAGTGCTCCAGACACACCAGCTGCTGCTCCAGCT